TCGCTCGTTTATCAAATTAATAATTATTTAAAAAAATTGCTCGTCTTGCAAAACACTCGCAGACCAAGTTACTTGCAATCCAAGGTTTTACTGTATACAAACCTAAAAAAAGTCGATTCTTATTTTTGCACTAACTATTCAATACATGAGCTTTATAATCATTTTTAATCCACGAGTCAAAGTATTATTATGCATCGTAAAAGCGTTTTGTATGCGTATCGTATAGTTTGTAAAACAGGAATTACATGTTAATTGAAGGCCCTCACTCGATCCTTGTATTAAGTAAATAAGTAATACAAGCTCGAGATGGGAAGAGTGTACATTTTCTTACCTTTGTCATCTCATTAAGCCTCCCTATATGTGCCCAAAGATGTTCTCCAGAGCCCAGATTGAAAATGAGAGTCACTTTAACTTTGCAAAAATATCACATTACCCCCATATTTGTTACATGTGCGGCCGCTTTGTCAATCCGCTGGTGGATGAGAGCCTCTCCCCACCCCGCGCGGGTCATGCGAGTGATTTGACAATGCGTAACCGTGCTAATTAGTGTGGGTTTGTAAAGGCAGGGAGCATAGAAGTGAAGTATAACGGTGGATGTTTTTTTTCTGCACTGCCTTCTGCTGCCCACAATGTAGTTGAGTTATTTAAACAGTCCGATTAATTAATCTGTTAAAATACATAATTTTGTGATACAGCTGCATTGCCAATGGTGCATGTCAAAGCCAATCACCAACAGCACAACCTCAACACTTGTCTCGTTCAGGCATTGTTATTGACAAATGTGGGTACCGCAGTGGTGAGATGTTAACTCCCTCGCCTGGTATGCAGGAGGTCGTGGGTTCGATCCCGACCCTGATGCCTGTATCATTGGAGTTTGTACCTTCTCCCCGTAATCGCCGTGGATTTATCTCCGGGCACTCAGGTTTTTTTTCCCTCCACATTTAGAAACGTGGCATTTTCACATAATAAGGCTACTTGGTTGAGCTATCATTTGTGGCCAAGTCTCTTCTGCAAAAAAAGCTATACAGCTCAGTGGGAATTACCTGGTAAAATAAAAAATAGTTTAGTTTAATTCTTATGTTCATGGATAGTCACCTTGTCACAGCAAGGAGGTAAACTTTTTAATGCGCTGCTGCGGTTTGGTTATTTAATTCGCAACGACAAAAAACCAGCGCAAGACATTTGTGTTCCACCAGCGACGCAAATGATGTCATCTATCGAGCGACTTCTTTGTGCCAAGGCACCACGTGAAGCCAATTAAATGCGACTGCTGTCAATCAGTAGGCTTGCTGCCCCCCCCCCCCCCCATTGCATACTTGCACAGAGGCTACCGGTTGGTAGATTTCAAGCACAGAAGTTGCTTTATCACTTGCAACAGTTGTCTGGCACGAGATAAGCATGCAGAAGAAATGCCCAGCTGGAATAGGCCTCCAGTCTTAATTAAGGAGAAAAGGCCAACTGCCTGTGATAAGCCCAACTATTTCCCTAATGCCATTTCTTCATTACCAGCAGGGAGTGGGATTATGTACATTATCTTCCCTCTTTCTACTCGCTTCTAAGTTCACCGAGGGAGCACTGGCGTCTCCCATGCATATCCTTGTCTCTTGTTGACGTCTCTGGTTGTTTTATTTCTACTAAAATATCTCAGAATTACCGTTGCACGATGTGCTGATTTTTGCTCGCGCTCTGCGGAATTTCATTCAAAGATCCCAATGTTGCCTTGTATGGAAAGTGGGAAATTAACAGAACCAGGGCAATGGCCAGAACGGAGGGGTAAAAAGGCCAGTTTAAGGAATTGTTGTCAAAGACGTACTTGGAGTTGGTAACCCTCTCCGTGTGCCTGCCGTAGCAGTGCTGGCACAAGGACGGGCTGTGAAAGGTTTCGGTGAATTAATGTCGGCTATTACTGTGGACTTGGGTGGGCGGAATCGGTGTCACATCGGTTAGCACACTGCACTGTGAAGTTCTATTCCTGACCGAGGCTAACTTCGGGTGGCAAGTTGGTTGAGAGAGGGCACCTTTCCTTCACCAACCTGACCTCCAACCGGTGTGGTGAAGTATCGTCAAACAACCCATATGAAAGTAGCACGGTGTAGGGGGAAATCCCTTTGTCCAAATCTCGATTGAAAACTAATTTCTTTAAAACTGATTTTCGTGTTTAGTTTGTCATCCTTCCTCCGCAACTCCAATTAGCACGGTTGGCTACATACGGTGCAAAAGAAGTTCAACATACATCCATCTTTTGCGGCCAACATAGGCCATGTAGTCTTATAATTCTAGACTTGGGAGTGGCCGGCTTCGTGAGTGAATGAGTGAGTGCTTGTTAGGCTGTCAGATGTGTGTGGCAGGAGTCGTGTGTTGGAAAGGTATGGGGGCAGGGGGGGGGGCTGGTATGGTCGATGCTACAGAGGATGAGGAGCAGAGTGAGATGTGATAAGCTGGCTTGTGGCGGCCGCCCGCCCACAATGCTCCCTGGTGTTGCAGCCTTGTAAACAGTAGCTCTGAGCAGCTGGTGGCTCGTTGTCTGGACTCCACCCTCACCCCCCATACACCCAATGTAGAAACTTGGTGGTGTGGTGGGGGGGGGGGGTGATGGCGGTGGGAGGGGGGTGTCTTAATGATGCCTGCTTAATGTTGCGTAGCAAATCAAGCTCTCGTCTTTCCTCCACCGTCGTTTAATTTAACTGGGGTTTATTAAGAGAATGTGTTACTCACTGAAATACCTTGTCACTCGAGGTATGTGGTGTTTTTTTAAGTTTAAGATCATTCCACTTTCCTTTAGTGATCAAATCAGTCATCGATATGTTAGAAAAGTAATAAAAATAAATGCAACAATATAGCCACCGTTGGATGAAGGCCTTCCCAAGCCATCGCCATCTCGCATGATCCCGCCATGTGACAATCCCACGATGTAACAATCCCATCCGGCCCCCACGTGCGGTAGCGTGTTTGTCACGTGTTGCAGAGGTTCGCGGTTCAAATCCAGGCGGCTGGCCTGATTTTAATCCTGCGTGGTGTAACAGCTGTAATAATGTGGCCTTTAAAGATTCCGTGACGTAATTCGCAAGAGTCAGCCGTTGCGTGCCGGCAAAATTTGGCAAATTCGAAAGTTAGCAGCAAATTACTCAATTGGGCTTGTACATGGCAACCATCACCACATACTGGCAGCAGACTAATGTGCCAGGTCACTGTTGGAAACGAGACTGGTCCTGGTCTCTTGGTTAAACAAAATCAACTAAACCACACAGCTTTTCAGATTTTGTTCCCTTCGCCTCATCAATTTCCATACGCCACTCGGGTACTATACACGCGTTGAGAATAAATCTTAAGTAAATATCTGTCGTAGGGACACAACAGGGAGAATGTGTCGGTATAACGCGAGTCGGTTTTGACAACCGTCCATCATTTCTGCTGCCCTTTTACAGTCACTACGATCGGCAAAAAAAAAAAATCCGATTCTTAAACAATCTGAGCCGCGCCTCGCCTCTCCCGTTCCATTCCAAACGTCTCCGCACTTCAGTTTCTCCGCCACCACCGCCGCCACTCTCGGGGAAGACCCCGGGGGGCCGATGACACGGTAAAGCTAAGCAGGCCCTCGTCCCGCCCTCGCAGACGCAGACACGCCGGCACGGCGCAGACGCGCGCAGAAACACGCGCGGGAGAGATAGCGGCTCTCCCCGAGAGCCTGAGCGAGCGGGCATGAAAGAGCAACGGTGACTGACACAAAGGCACCCGCGCACGCTCTCCGAGATGGAGACGGCTGATAGGACCCGCGCAGATCACAGGCAGCGGCGCTGGCGCGTGCGGGGCCGGCTTCACCCAGCGTCGTCTCGCCTTGCGGCGATCTGGATTGCGATCGCCCTGGCCACGGCCGCCGGTGTCTGTCGGTTCGGAGCCGTTGTCTCCCTCGCTCGTGCACTCGGGGGTTGGTGGTCTTGATAAGGCGGCTTCAAATGGCCCCTGCCATAGGAATATGGACAATACACCGGCAGCTGGCTGGGCTTGCCGGCGGATTTCCCGTACAAGAAAACATCTTTGCGCGGTGGAAAGCTTCTAACATTTGTACTCTTGAAACGCGGCGAAATATGCATCCCCCCGCCCCCGTACACCGACGTTGAACGTCTCAAGGTGCTGTAAATACATTGGGTGTAATTTACCACGATAAAATCCTTGCTTGTAAAACTTGCCCTTTTTTGGGGGGGGGGGGGGGGTGATGCGGGTCGAAACACGTGTAGGCAGGAAGGCAGGCTCCCCCCTGCCCTCCCATTCCTGGAAAGATGATCCCCTTCCTGGTGTTTACACATAGCTGCTGTTTCCGCCGTTGTTTTATTTTATTTTATTCTTTTATTTGTTTTATTTTCCCCCTTTTTTTTTTACACGCTTCCCTCGCACCAGATTTACAGCCGAGAGATTGAAAGGGGTTGCGGGGTGGGCAAGGGGCAGGCGTAGAGAGAGGGAGTTCGCGGGGGTCCCGAGGTCACCCGCCAGGCTAAGAGGGGTCACGGCAAGATGGTTTTTGTTGTAGGAAAATTCGTCGGGGCGTTAAGTGCGGGGCTGATTGACAGGGAGCAGTCGTTTGTGTGGTTTGCAGTCGGATTTCGCAAAAAAACATTTTACATTTTGCAAATATAATCTCGGCAAAGATGCTTATGTGATAAAAACTGCCTATTCATATCAGACATAGACCAGAGTACAGATTTCAGATCGTGAATTAAATTTCCCACGCGTACAAATACATAAACTTTACGATGACGATGGTGGCGGTGGTTGTGCTGTGGCTGCTGATAATAATGATGGTGGTGGTGCAGTTGGTGGCAATAACAATGAATACAATGACGGTGATGACGGCAGTGGTTGTGTCGTACCGTGGATGATGAGAATGATTGAGTTAGTGGTAGTGATTTGGATATGGCGATGATGGCAGCATATGGGTGTTGGTGCACTTTGTAAAAAATTTAAAAACATAACGATGATGTTGTTTTTTTTAATGTTTTTCGCAGTCCCTGTCCAGAGCAAGGCATGGGGGATGAGTTCAACTTGATGGATCACTCGGACCTCTACATCCTCGACTTTGGTACGTAGTGAATCTCCGTGCAACATTGGTGCATGATCTCGATAGTTGCTAACATGGTGCTTCGTGCGTACCAGAAACATCCATCGATAATAAACATTCTCGGGGAAATAAATGATGATGATAATAATTGCAACTTGTAACGCGTTCGCACACAGAGAGAGAGAGAGAACGACTCGGAGGCGCGAGGATTCAGAGGAGCGGGGAAGGCAGCAGCCAGGCGTCGAGCCAGTGCCAAATTCCCCCACCCCAAGCGCTCATCATCATCACCATGTCCCTCGGGGCATAGCAGTCCCCACGAGCCACTACCAGGCAATCCTGTCCTGCCCTAGCCGCCACTCTGAATGCACGCCAAGGCCGTGGTGTCGAAGATCGGCCCTCGGGCCGTCGACGATCGCGCGCAGGGCTCTGGCGCGATCCGTCGATGCGTCCGCCCGGGCGACGTGTCCGCAGAGCGGCTTAAAGTCTTCTGGCTCTGATCGTTTCGTGCACTGCCGGGCATCCCGTGCGAAGGGCGAACCTCAACATTTGTGATGTGTACACTGAAGCTCTGGGGGAGCTTTGCCGAGCCTCGACGCTTTTGTGTCAAGGGGTGTCCTGCATTGGGACGGTTGGCCAATTTCCGCTAACGAGTGGTTTGGTGTGTGGGAGGAAACGATCGAGGGGAAGGTGTATTTATAAAGGGGCTCTATTGTACACATGCGACGTGTATACCCTCTTAGGGCGAAGATCCAACAAACCTGCTCATTATACAGCTGCGAGTGAACTGCTATCAGTGCGCCAAATACACTTTCACTCCCCGTTTCCGCTGACGTTTGAGATGGCCTCGGAAAGCCGCCGCCGTGAGAGTAAAAACGTGCGTCCGCCTCGACCGCGCGTGATCTGGCCGGTGCGTCTTGAGCGTTGGCAAGACTCGAGTGTGCTTACTTATTCGGAAACGTTCACCAGAAACAACGGGACATCCGTACCGTACCGTTGGATGCAGCGGTGTACTGGAGACTGAAAACATAAGCACCGTCCGTATATTGTCTAGAGCAGGGGTCTGCAACCTGTGGCTCCGAAGTCGCATGCAGCTCATTAACGACTCCTTTTGTGACGTTATTTATTAAGAACCACCGTCCCGTATTCACCACGTCCATTGCGGTTCTTGAAATATTGGGGGTTTTACCCAAGTCGAAAACACAATGGCTCTTCGTCTTGGTTCTTTCGATAAAGTCACGTAGAAGGGAAGTAATAAAATAATAAATTATGTTTTATTTTTATTATTTTATTACTTCCCTTCTACGTGACTTTACCGAAAGAACCAAGAAGATGAATCCCTGCAGTCACGAAAGCTTTAAATCGAAAAGAAAAACAATGGCTCTTGTTGTTGTGGATGCCGACCCCTGGTATAGAGCATGACGTTAAAGGTAAAGGCGCAGCCCTGCAATGGCCTGCTCACGACCCTGCTAGCGAAAAGGGGTCTTCATCTGTAGAGGGCTCCCCGGAGGGTGTTTGACCTACTCACTGACAATGTCTCAGTAGAAATAGGAGCTACCCACACTTTGCCCCCATCGCACGCGATCTGTCGATTGACTAACTGCGGCGGTGTGTCGTACGATGTTTATTCGTTGTATCCTATCACACACTTCGTTGAGCTATCATTTGTGGCGAGATCGCTTCTAAAAAAGAAGCTTTAATAGCTCGGTGGGCTTTACCTGGTAAGATAAAAAAAATCTTTTTTCAAATTTGTATATTATTTTTTAAGTGCTTTGTTTACCTTTCCTATATATGCCACTCCTATCGTGTTGTATTGTTGTTGTAACATTCTGACCCCGTGCCCCTACTGGACATCGGTGAAAAAGAGCTTCATAGCTCATCGGATTTCCACAAGTATAAATAAATATTCTAATTTTGGTAAATGCCATCACTAAACTCAGGAATGACAAATTAATATTCACTATTACTATGCCTGGTTTTAATTATGAAAAGATAATCTGTTCATCATCTGAACTAAATGCACACAAATGATCAAAACCTAATTGCCCAGAAAGGTCTGCTGCATTGATAACGCTTGAAGAGAGCATTAAAATACAAATCTCAAGAGGAGTCGGGTTATTGGCGAAGCATTCGCCAAGGCAAATCAAGACGAGGGTGCCACGGTGGCGAGGTGTTAACTACCTCCCCTGGTCGTGGGTTCTATCCCGACCTGTATATTCGTTGGTTCTTTCGGTAAAGTCACATGGATAGAAAATAATAAAAGAATGATAATAATACATATATTTTCTTAAAATTATGGTCGACAAAACGTCGTGAGTTTTTGGTTTCTATTAATTTTTATTTTATTATTTTCTACCTACGTGACTTTACCGTTTGAACCAAAGAATATGAATTCCTGCAGTCACGAAAGTTTTAAGCCAAAACCTGACCTGTATATTTGTAGTTTGTATGCTCTCTCTCTCTCCCCGTGGTCATGTGGATTTTTCTCCGGGTCCTCCGGCGTGTCCCTGTTCATTTACAAACAACGTGCGTTCATATTATTTGGCTGCGATAAATTTCCACGTGATAAGCCACTTTGTTGAGCTATCATTTGTGGCCAGGTAGCTTCTGAAAATGAGCGCTATATCTCAGTGGGCCTTACCTGGTGAAATAAACAAAATTTTGGTTTATAGTTTTAGTTTAAAAAATTAGTAGATCTTATCTCCTATCGTTTAGTTTAATATTTTAAATCGCAGCTACGTTAGAACTCCAAATTGCGTTGAAGAAACATCCAATTCTAACTGTTGTGTGTAGATGTGTAGACTACTGCCTTCTCTTGTGGATCATAACCGTTGTGTTTGTGCGTTTTATCTTTCAGCACCAAGTTTGAAAACCCTTTGCACACTGGCGGTCGTGCAGTATAAGTTGGATCTGTCCAACCTCCCTCATGACATCCGGTAAACTATTGCAGGGACATTTTTTATCGTCTTAAATGTACAAAAAAATCGCAGCAGGCGGCAATGTTGCAATGTCTAATCTCAATTTTCACATGCGTCTTAAGGCACAATTTCATTTATTTTCCCTCAATATCGATGGCACAACCTCAATGCAGCATTGTTCACCGTTAGTGCTCGGTCGGTATCTCCGAGTCTCTTTAACCCCTTTCCCCGTTGCGAGACGTCTCTGCAAGCTGCAGGGCGAGGGTCCCCTTCGCCGGATCTCGGAACGCGCTATCGGCTCGGCATACATTTTACTCGCAGCGGTGTAGGAGCAGCGCCGTTGTTCTTAAAAACGTTGTTACTCACCGCAGAGAAGCGTAGCGACACGACCGCCGCCACTCTACGAAAGCCGGGGGGGGGTGGGATTTCAGATGTTTGTCGTGCGGCAACTCTAGAAAGTCGTCCACTGACTGAACTCGCTCGCCAACATCGACGTGAACATACAGACGTGTCGCTGATCAACTCCCCGCCTTTATCTGAACCAATAACAATAATCCCCGTTATCATCATCATCAGAGTTGGTATACAGGTGCAATTGCGCATCGTTGGATTTGCACAGCTTGCGTATATTTCAACGTTCGTTATCTCGGCTGTAATCTGACGCCCGCCCCCACCGCCCGCCCGCCCGCGCCAAAATTCTCTGCCGGAGAGAGAAAACCGGCGAGAGAGGCGCGTGGCTCCGAGATGCCGTTACGCATCTCCTCCACGCATCCCCCTCGCCTCCTTCGCTCCGTTACGTTGTCACCACCCCGGGTGTTGTCTCAGCTGCAGGTTCGCCAAGTGAAATGCGCTCCCCCCCCCCACCCTTTCTCAGAGAGGTCTATTAACTCCGTGCTCGTCTAAAAAACAATAAGCTCCGATGATCGGATTTTGTTTTCGGATGGAGGTGCGTTTGTGTCAACAGCCCATTCTCTCGTCTCCCCCCCCCCCCCCCCGCATCTCGCTGGTCCTTTCTCTTTTGTTTTGCCTTCCACCGCCTCCTTAATGCCATAAGACGGAGAGATCAGACGCGGACAACCCGCATTCGATTTGTTTTACTCACTTGTGTAATCTGTTGAGGCTTTTGCCGACGCGTGACGGTGTTGTTTGTTTATTGCCCATTGCCGTCTGTTGCCACATGCGGTTCAATCCCCCCGACTTGAAGTATTTGCCGCGAGATGCATGGCGCCTGATCTGGAGAGGCGGCGGCGGCGGCAGCAGTGGCTTGGGTAGGCCCTCATCCAGCAGTTGATTGACCATGGTTGTGTATGTATGTTGACATTCTTGCACACGGTACGTCGCCAATCGTGCTAATCGAAGGTGCGAGGAAGTTGGAGGTGCGTGGGAATCCGAGGTGCGGGGGTGATGATGATGATGATGTGTCACATGGTGGTGGAGCGGTGGCACAGTGAGGGTTAAAACTTTGCTATGAACCAGCTGAGCCGAGTTCGATTCCCTGCCACGGTTTGCATCGGTGGCGAGTGATATCTGAATCGGTCACGGGCTGCTCCCATCTTCGCTAACCCCGCTATCATTCTTTGCTTTCTTATCCAAGTGTGGTACGTGACGACATACCCTCCGTGTCAATTTAAAACATGTTTCTCATTTACGAAGTGTTGGCAAATCTGCAACATCCAGCCCAAGGTACCCGTGTGTATAAGATAAGAACTGCGTAGCAGAAGATCTACTTATTTTTAAACTGAAACTATAAACACATTTTTTTTTTGTATTTGACCAGGTAAAGCCCGCTGAGTTTGTAGCTCTTTTTTCAGAAGCGATCTGGGTATCACAAATTATAGCTCAACGAAGTGGCTTATGTGGGGATTTATAGCAGCCAAATACTCTTAAACCCATGTCGATTCTAAATGTGGAGGGAAAGCCGGCGGATCCGGAGAAAAAACCAGACTACCACGGGGAGAAAAACATGCAAACTCCAAATATACAGGCGTCATGGGTCTGGATCGAACCCACGATCTCCTTTATATCAGGCGAGGTAGTTAACAACCCGCCACCACAGCGACCCTCTTAACCAAGTGGCACATGACGACGCACCCTCAGTAACTTTAAAACCTCTTTCTCATTTACATAGTGTTGGGCAATCTGCGACATACAGCCAAGGTAACCCTGTCTATAAGATAAGAACTGTGAAGGAGATAAGATCTACTTGTTTAAAAAAACTATAAACTAAACTATTTTTTTGACCAGGTAAGGCCCACTGAGCAATAAAGATATTTTTCAGAAGCTAATGGCCACAAAATAATAGCACAACGAAGTGGCTTATCACGTGGAAATGTATAGCAGCTAAATCGTATAAACCCATGTTTCTAAATGTGGAGGGAAAAACCTAAAACCCAAGAAGAACCCACGCTACCACAGAGAGAGAGAGACATGCAAACTCAAAATATACAGGCGTCAAGGGTCGGGATCGAAGCTGCGACCTCCTGTATACCAGGCGAGGCAGCTAACATTTCGCCACCGTGTCGCCCGTCTTTAACGCGCATCGGTCATTTGAGTGGAGCACAAGCAAAGCCACTTAACAATCGCTCGGGTGCCCAAATCGTGTTCCTGGAACCCCGGAGCGAACTCGCCGCCACGCCAACTTGGCACCCTCGCCGCCCCGAAGGACAGAACACAGCCCCCCCAAATTGCCTTGGCCACGTGCGCCAAGGGGGCTTGGGTTTCCAGTGCAGATATTGCAGGCACGCGCCGCCGGCGGCGGGCACAGCAGCAGCAGCAGCGGTGCCTTTTAGTGCCGCTTCCGAGCATTGTTAAGCATTTATGGCTCGGTTGAAGGTAACAGGATAGCCCCATTTGAAGTGGTGATGGTAAAAAAGAGGGTACACGCAGACACGCGCACATACACCCCCCACATAGCCTGACACAGATTGTTGAGACAAGTGCTGTTAGCGAGTGCTTATGAAGGCCGTCACGGCGCACGAGTGGGTGGTATGGCCAGCACGACGCACGCCTGGCAGCCTTTGTCTCTCTAGCATTGATGCTTACAAAGCCCACTGGCTACTTATTTAAGGCGTAATTGACCTAGGCGAGATCCAGTTCAGAGATTGCGCCACTGATGTCCGCTTTGGCTGGGAATTAAACTTGGGCTGCCTGGTTCATAGTGTAGTGGGCTAATCGCTATGCTACTGCTCAAGACAAAGATCCCCCCGTATAGCCTTTACCAGGCTGTTGGGGCGAGTGCTGTTTGTGAGTAACACCTTTGAAGGCCGACATGGGACACATGTATGTTGAACTTCTTTCGCACCGTACGTAGCCAACCGTGCTAATTGGAGGTGCGGGAGAAGGACAGCAAACTTAACACAAAAAGCAGTTCTAACGAAATTTGTTTTCAACCTAGATTTAAAAGTGCATAGCTCCAGTGTCTTCCTAATATCGCAGAAGCGCATCTGAACTACCCGCAATAGGCGGTAGTGTGGCCCGCACCACGCTCGCCTGCCTGTGCCTCTCCCAGCGCTTCACTTTACTGAATGAACCCAGGCGAGATTCAAGACCGCTTCGGAAAATCTGTGCGCCGTACCTGGTAAAATAAAATAGCTTAGTTTCGTTTTAATCGCCACTGATGTTAGCTGTGGCCAGGAATCAAAACTTGAGCAGCCAGATTTGCAGTGCAGTGCCCTAACCACTACGCTACCACCCCACAGCCCCTCCCCCCGCCTCTCGCACACAAGCAAATACATGGCGGCGCATGGGCACGCACCGTGCACCATTCCCCAGAAAGGCAGAGGAGAACCCTTCGATGAAATTGATGAATGGAGAAGCGGAAAAAAAGGTCTCGTGCGGTGTCGGCGTAGACAAACAACCGCCGCTAATCCCCGAAGCAGCGAAGCAGCAGCGGCGCACACGCGTCTCTCAGTGTGGGATGTGTCGGGGGTTAAAGGGGGCCACCGGCCCCTGCTAGGATGACAGGACTCCACTGGAGCCGAGAAGGGGGGGGGGGGGTCCTTATCAGCGGCCAGCATACGGGCCAGATGGTTCTCTCGTTATCAGCCACCAACACCCGACCCCTCCCTCCCTCGCTCGCTTGCTCCCTGCCTTCCCCACACCCCTTCTCCTTCTTATTCACTACTGCCTGCAAGAGCAGCTTAAGTAAACACGGATTCCCGCATGCTCTCGCTAGGTGCCCCGTGCTGTGTGGGTGGTTCTTTTTCGTTTTCCCCAGAACGGCTGCCCCTCCGTATTGTACGCACGCACGCCTCCTACGGGGGACCCACCACTCGACACCGGCGGCGGTGTTGATGATGTAACCCGCGCGGTGTGCCGGCTTAATTGGCGGAGGTGGTGGTGTATTTTTTTTAAGAATGACTTTCGGCAAACGTTGTGTGCGTGTGTGTGTCTGCTTGGGGGAGCGGTGTAGTGAAATGGTTAGCGTGCCAGCGCTACGAACCTCTGACCCTGAGTTTGATTCCTGGGCCACAGCTGATATGAGTTGGTGAGTGATTTCGGAACCCCCATTTCTGACACGGCACAGGGGGAGGCCCTTCATCCAGCAGTGGATTGACAAGCTGTGCCCCGGGGGGGGGGGGGGGGGGGGGGGGGGGCAGTAGCATCGTGGTTGGTTTATCGCTGTGCGAACCCTACAACCCAAGTTCGATTCCCAGCCAGGGCCAACGCGATTGGTGAATATTTTAACTGGCCGTGGGCTTTTCCCCTAGGTTAACTTGGCCTTAAACATCGACTTAGGTTCGGTGTGTAATCGTCGTCCCCGTTGAGACGAATGCAACAGTGCGTGGTGCTGGCCTGGCCACACCAGTCCCCTCGTGTGCCGTGCCGGCCTTCGCGTAGGGTGCTCGCGAATAGCAACAGTCCAATATGCCCTAACGTGGCCGATGTTTATCATTGTCCGTTCTCTTTTTTTTTTTACCCATCAGGTGGGAGATTACTGCCATGACGACCAACAGCAACATCAGCCGGCCCATTTTCTCGTCGCACGGATGAATTGGAGGCAAATGTTGAGCCCTCGCTGCTCGGCGATAGTTTGTGGAGGTTTTTATTCTTGGGGACTGCGACTCGCCTGGCATTTCACCCCGGACATACCAGATGCTTTCATCATCAGGGTCTGGCCTGAGTCTGGCCTGAGTCTGGCCTGGTTCGGGTCTGGCCTGGGTCTGGCCTGGGTCGGGTCTTGCCTGGGTGTGTCCTCGCTTCTCGACGTGACGTCGCGTGGCCTGGAGAGAGAAAGAGAGCGAGCGGGCTGTGACCACCAGCAGATGGATAGACATTTTGTCTCTTCCGAGCCTCTACAGCTAACGCGGATGATGGAACGCTTTCGCTGTCGGAGCGTGAGAAACAATTCAAAACACACAGGGACTCGTACTCAAAGGGAAATGAATAAAATGCTACACAAATCGGAAATGTCGTATTTTATTTTTCATCGCTAGTCCGATTGCATTATCGTTTCCTCTTAAAATCAGTATTTATGGTGATTTAGTGTTCTTTAAGTACTGGATAGACTAGCCTGAATTTTAGAAATGACAATTGGAAGATGTCGGTTTTTTTTGTTCCGATGCAAACATTTTTACCCGTGCGAGTTACGAGTGCATTCTCTCACGTCGCGTACAGGCCACGCACACGTTCTACATATATAAACACAGTGCTCCGACAATCAGGACACACGGGATTATTATATTTTAACCGATCACATTGCATTACGTTCATTTATTTTAACAAGTTTAAACTTACTGCCATTAACATGAAAGCATGCAACGAATTTTTTGTGAGTTGAGTTTATACTTAATTCTTTGGTGTACTCTTAGACCATTCATCAATTTTTGTTTTGGCAATTTTCCTGCCATTTTTGAATGTCGCCTGAAAAGGAAGACGGAAAATGTATTTAAAAATAAAAATAAAACAATTGAAGTTATTTTAATGCCAAATATTAAAATTCCTAAAATAACCCCTACGCGTCCTGACTTTTGGGGCCACTGGACACATGCATACACGTCCAACACACACATCTCTTGCGTGTGCGTGTATGTGCGCGTGTGTACACGTACAACACGCGTCTCGTGCATGCATATGTACACGTACAACACACGAATCTCGTGCGTGTGTGTACGCACGCACAACACAGGAATCGCGTGCGTGTGCGTGCGTACACGTACAACACAGGAATCGCGTGCGTGTGCGTGCGTACACGTACAACACAGGAATCGCGTGCGAGTGCGTGCGTACACGTACAACACAGGAATCGCGTGCGTGTGCGTGCGTACACGTACAACACAGGAATCTTGTGCGTGTGCGTGTGTACATGTACAACAGGAATCTTGTGCGTGTGTACACGTACAACACACGAATCTCGTGCGTGTGCGTGTGTACATGTACAACACAGGAATCTCGTGCGTGTGTGCATGCGCGTGCGCTCGTCCACTTGAACTCGCGTTGCTCTCCTCAATTTTTTTTTAAGCCAAATGTCGAGAATTTCACGACGCTGTCACTTTCAGTTTTTGAACAACAGAATGAAGCAAAGCCAAATGACGTATATTCTTGTGCGGTGAAGTTGTTTACAGTTTGGTGCTCCTGTTCTAAAAAAAAACCCTCCAGGTCTCGTGTGCGTGTTGCGTAGCGCCACGGGGCTTGCCCGTAATCGAGAGTTATTATTTTGATGCGTGTGCCGTGTTCAGCTTTTGCCTTTTTGAGAGCTAGCCAAGAGAGCTAAGCTCGCCGTGTGCGCGGATGTGTGTCGCGTGTGCTGTAAATGTGCAGGTTTGAAATTGGAGAATAATTATTAAAGTCTCCACCCGTTGGTTAACTCGTCGCGTTGCGTGTGGGTTTATTTTCCGTCATAATAATTGGTACGTTTTGGTAGTCGCGGCATTCTTATTACGAAGTAAGGAACGAAACTAAAAGCGAAACTTTATTTTACCAGGTAAGGCCCCACTGGGCTATGTAGCTCTTTTTCAGAAGTGACCTATCTGCAAATAATAGCTCAATGAGAAGTGGCTTATCATGAGGAAATGTATATCAGCCAAATGCTCTTAAACGTGATGTTGATTCAAAATGCGAATGGGAAAACCGGGAGGGCCCGGAGACAAAACCACGCCAGCACGGTGAGAGAAGAGAGCGAGACACCGCAAACTCCAAATATACAGCAGCAGCAGGCATGAGGGTTGGGATCAAACCCATGACCTGTATACCAGGCGAGGTAGTTAACATCTCCTAGCCACCGTGATTATAGAGAGAGAGAGAGAGAGACACGCAAACTCCAAATATACAGCAGCAGGCGTCGGGGTCGGGATCAAACCCACGACCTCCTGCATACCAGGCGAGGTAATTAACATCTAGTCTAGATGTGAAGCTTTCGTGACTGCAAGGATTCATACTCTTGGGTTTTTTTGGTAAAGCCACGGAGGTAAAAATAAATAATTTAAATAAATAATATTAATAAATAACCTCTTTTATTTCTATAAAATAGGTATTTTATTTCTATTATGTCGATTTTTTAATTATTTTATTCCTATTCAACTAATTATTTTATTCCTATTATTTCTATTTATTTTTACCTACGTAACATCTCCCAGCCACCGTGCCGTTTCAGAGAAGAACCCTCTGCAAGAAACGGCGTGCATGCTCCGTACGGTGCGAAAGAAGTTCCACAATGCGACCCGTGTGTTGCCTGCCATGTGCAAAAGCAAGTTGAGTTAAATTTCGATTTAAAGCTTTCGTGACTGCAGGGATTCATCTTCTTGGTTCTTTCGGTAAAGTCACGTAGAAGGGAAGTAATAAAATAATAAAAATAAAACATAATAAAATAATTCTCACGACGTTTCGGCCACAACGCAAGCAGCCGTCCTCAGGTGAGGACGGCTGCTTGCGTTGTGGCCGAAACGTCGTGAGAATTATTTTATTATGTTTTATTATTTTATTACTTCCCTTCTACGTGACTTTACCGAAAGAACCAAGAAGTCGAGTTAAATTGTCAGAACATTTTGTTGTCAAATTTGCTACATTCGTTGTAGCGCGTCACCGTCACGGGACATTGGCCCCCACACGTGTCAAAGGGCGTCTCGCGGGATCTTCTAGCGCCCGCTCTGAAGCAGGCGGCGCGTGGTACCGACTGGTGAATTCGCGCGCCGCAGCAGTAAGCCGAGGCAGCCTGCCCGATTGGAATCCACGAGCCTCTGCTGCAAGAAACGGCGGACGTCGCTACCACCTCGCAAACGCCTCCGCCACGAGGTGCCTGAGATGGTGTTGTTCACTCTAATTGAAATCTGTTAAATTTACCATACACCACAATTAACTTTCAGGGTTTCAATGTGTGTATGTTGAACTTCTTTCACACAATGCATAGCCAACCGTGCTAATCGAAGGTGCGAAAGAGTTGTAATCGTAAAATAAATAAGTCTAGATTTCGATTTAAAGCTTTCGTGACTGCAGGGATTCATATTCTTGGACCTTTCGGTAAAGTCACGTAGAAGGGAAATAATGAAATAATAAAAATAGAACTATTAAATTCTCACGACGTTTCGATTGCAACACAATCATCATCAGGTGTCAAAACCACACCGCCACTTTTTTCTAAATTTCCTGTGGTTTTCACACCTGATGATGATTGCTTGTGTTGCAATCGAAACGTGAGAATTTAATAGTTTTATTTTTATCATTTCATTATTTCCCTTCTATATGACTTTGTAGATATTTATTTATTTCATACAGGTGATCGTATTACGTAGTGATCTGTTGCAAGCCTGTTAGATTGTAGGAGCATTGCCAATGACCAAAGTAACAAATAACGCCGGATCTCGCCAGATCCTGGAAGGCTAAGCAGGCGTGAGCCTGGAAAGTGCAGTGAATGGTTGCCTGCCACAATGCACGCCGGTTGTGGTGAAGGCCACTAGGGCTAAGTGGTGAGAAGTCGAGGGCAGTGCAGATTTCAAAATAAATATATAATCCCGCACGTCCTCTGCTTTCCTGCACTCAACCCGCACTGACCAGCGTGGTGAAGTATGGTCAAATAAATTTCGATTTAAAGCTTTCGTGACTGCAGGGATTCATCTTCTTGGTTCTTTCGGTAAAGTCACGTAGAAGGAAAATAATAAAATAATAGAAATAAAACAAAATAATTCTCACGACGTTTCGACCACAACGCAAGTAGCCGTCTTCAGGTGGAGAACAGGTCTGTCGAGAAGGCAGAGTCTGAATGTTGCGAGTAGCAGCAACATCAAATAACCACCCCTCGACCCCCCACGCCCTGGGGAGGCCCTCATCCAGCAGTGGATTTACGAAAGAGCTGTACGCGTGCACGCTTTCTGTTCAATGACCGTCCACTGGTAGCATTCACAGAGTTTGTTCAAATAATTCTTCTTTTTTTTAAGAGTTGTGTTAAGCATAGAGTTTCATATTCTTAAGTTTTTTTGGTAAAGTCACGTAGGTAAAAAAATATAATTAATTAACCTGAAGACGGAGGCTTGTGTTGCCTCCGAAACGTCGTGATTTTTATTTTATTTTACTTTTATTAATTTTAATTTTTTACCTACGTGACTTTACCTAAAAAACCTAAGAATATGAATCCTTGCAGTCACGAAAGCTTCAAATCTAGAATCATAGAGTTTCAGTGTATATTATTCTAGAAATCAACGGGTTACATCGCAGTGTGGAATTTCCACGATTGGCTTAAGGATATCGGTCTCGGAGCACGGATACACTGCTTGCTAAAGGTGAGAACCTAATTTTGTCTCCCCAAACATTGGGGTGGCGAACGTCCGGCCCACGAGCCGTACAAGGCCCGCGAAATCATTTGGTGTGGCCCTGCCAAGGCAACCGCAGGCTGGACTCGAAATTCAATAAATCTAGGAGCGAACCTGGAAAAGCAGTTGCGAGTAGCAGCAACATCATCAATACCAGCTAACATCACACGCCTCGCCAAAGAGAAGCAGTTCCAGCCCATCACATTATGGTCGAGTTAATTAAATGTTTGACCAAATATAAACAGGCTAATTTTAAGTTAATAATTTAGTATGGCCCGCGAATGATGTTATAAATATCTAAATGGCCCTTGGCAGAAAAAAGGTTCCCCACCCCTGGCTTAAAAGCTCCACACACGTCAACAGCAGTGGCCTTCAAAGGGAAACTAATGGGCAACATTTCGGGCAATGACCCTTCATAGCACAACTGAGAGCACTCCGTGTGATGAAGGGCCATTGCTCGAAACGTCGCCTATTTTTTTTCCCTTTTATGCCCACGCACCGTGGTATAGGCCGTGCTTGTTGCACCATTGCCAACGCAGCAGCAGCAACAGCACAAACAATTTCCCTAACCTACATGATGGCCCACAAGTTAGAACACCCATGGGTTATTATTTATTTTAACATATCACAAATGGTCAAACTGACGTATTGACATTCATGTGTGCGTCCGTGCATTAATTCTATTTTTGAAAGTAATTCAGGACGGTTTTTTTTAAGATTACAAGTGTAATCTTTGAAGAATTCATCAATTATATTTAATCTCAAATCAAAACATAATTAGCACACGAGGTGGTGGGTGGGTGGCCAGCACCACAGCCGCCCGCCTTTGTCTTCCCAGTGGCGATGTTTTGCACACCGCACCAGGCACTCAGTTGAGGCTGAGTCGACCTAGGGGAGCCACAGCGCCGGTTCAGGTCAATCGTCACTGCTGTGATGTTGGCCGTGAGCGGGAATCGAACTCGGGACACGCGGTTCGTGTCCTCGGCGTGCGAACCGCTGCACCCCCCCGCGCCTCCCCCAAACCCCCCTAGACCCCCACACCCGCCGCACTCCGATGCTAAAAATAGCCCCCGTGGCTAAAAATAGCATTGCGTGACGTCAGGGGCAGTGTGGAGGTGCGCGCGCGTGGGAGGGAGGGGAGTGACGTGTGGACGGATGAGGGAGCGACCTCGTGACCCGAACCCACAACACGTTAGAGCAGAAAGGGCCATTACCCGAAACGTTAGCTTAGAACAACAACAATACGATGCGGATGGCCGTTGTTTTTTTCCCGGGAGAGCCTCGTTTGAGGGTCGAGGTTCACCCATCACAAGGGCCCGGCTACATTGATGATGGTTTTTGGGCGAATTATATATTTTTTGTTCTTTTTTTAAATCCATACATTATTTCTAGACTTGAAGCTTTCGTGACTGCAATGATTCATATTCTTAGGTCTTTTCGGTAAAGTCACGTAGGTAAAAATTTAAAATTAATAAAAGTAAAATTAAAATCAAATAATAATCACGACGTTTCGGAGGCAACATAAGCTTCCGTCTTCAGGTGGAACAGCACGATATCGCTTGTCTCCCGGATAAGGCTCCATCGAGTCTCATGACTCGCGTGTTCATCCCCTTTAGGGTCCTGCCACGTGTTCGCAGCAGTAGGGGGGTGGGGGGGACGATAATAGCTGCTGCTGAGCGTGTGTATTCCTCGTTGATTAATTTGCGGAGTTGCTTCAAATTTGGCCAATTTTGGATCATTGACCGCCGACACACAATGGCCTACTCTTGCGCGAAAGACCCAACTGGATCTTTAACGTCCACCGCGATGCAGGCGGCGCGTCGGGGTGTGTTTACCGTGAATACGCAACGCAGTGTTGATCAGGGCGGACGCTCGGTTCGAACCGCGAACCTCTCGCATCGCTCGGCCACGTCACCGCCCAGTCTATGTGGGTCTTCCGTGTGAGCGAGTCGATGTGTCTCTGTGTGAGTCTATGAATATCTGTGAACCTACCGTTCTCTGTGTGGTGAGTCTATGGGGTTTCTGTGTGAGGAGTCTATGGATCTCTGTGTGAGTCTATGGGTCTCTATGTGGTGAGTTTATGGGTCTCTGTGTAGTGAGTCTATGGGTATCTGTGTGGTGAGTCTTTGGTCTCTGTGTGAGTCTATGAGTCTGTGTGAGTTTATGGGTATTTCTGTGGTGAGTCTATGGTTCACTGGTGAGTCTATGGGTCTCTGTATGAGTCTATGGGTCGCTGTGTGATGAGTCTGTGGGCCTCTGTGTGGTGAGTCTATGGGTCTCTGTGTGGTGAGTCTATGGGTCAGTGGTGAGTCCATGGGTCTCTGTGTGAGTCTATGGGTCTCTGTGTGATGAGTCTAAGGGTCTCTGTGTGATGAGTCTATGGGTCTCTGTGTGGTGAGTCTATGGGTCTCTGTGTGAGTCTATGGGTATCTGTGAGTCTATGGGTCTCTGTGTGAGTCTATGGGTCTCCGTGTGATGAGTCTATGGGTCTCTGTGTGATGAGTTTATGGGTCTCTGTGTGTGAGTCTGGGTCCCCCTGTGTTAAGGACTTTAAATAACCCCGAAAAGATGTGTTTGGTTAATCCAATATACAAATATAAACGTCTTATCCACGTTTCCAATAATGCATTGACAGCCTTTTAAATCCACTGCCGGATGAAATCCTTCCCACGTCAGGACCGCTTCAGATGAGGCCAGCCACTGACGTTAGCCGAGGCCCGGGAATCGAACTCGGGTGGCCTGGCGCAGACCACTCATAATATCGACGCAAAGAAAACATTCCGCTAAACAGCAAAGACATCGTTCGGCATGATTTGTCGGGCGAACTGACATCACCGCAATGCCATTCAACAAACAATGTGGTGATGTTTCCGCTGTTGCGTTGGCAGTGATGCACGAGCACAATTAGCAACAAACTCGACGTTTCCATACCGTGTCAACCCGTACGATTCATCCCGTATTTTTGTCCAGGGAAATTGAGTTGTCAGTTCCACACGGCGTGCAGCCGTTTCAATACGGGCTACAACAAATATAATGTGTCTATTTGTTTGTGTTTCTCCCTTGTGATGCGACGTTGTATAGGATGAACGTTGAGATGTATAAGGGAGGGGCACGGGTGACCAATAAGGTCTGAATGGTTCTGTAATATTAAGCTAGGCAGCACTGATAATGGATTGACAGGTACGCGTTTCGAGCAATGCCCCTTCTTCATTACAATCATCCTCACCATCGCCGTAGCGTTATCGATGCTGCTGCTGCTGCTGCGGCGTCGTTGGAGGAGTAGGAGGAGGAGGAGCCGGGGGGCCGCGTGCTCTTCACGATTTGCGACAGCCAATGGGCTGGTCCCCTGGCTCCTTGGCGGAGCTTCATAAAATCCGCGCTCTGCGCGCACCGCGCTGCAGAGAGCGCGAGGAGGGAGTCCGTGCCCCCCCCCCCCCCTCTCGTGGTGGTGGTCGTGGTGGTGGTGGTCGTGGTGGTGGTGGTGGCTGAACGCGGACTGCAGCGGTGGGAGGGAGCGATCATCTCGGCACGTGCGCGCGCGCGCGCCATCTGCCGCTCTCACGGTAAGTGGGTGTAGATTATAGAATGAATGTCTTGATGAATTGCCTATTTTTCTCCATCTCTCTCTTTCTGTGTGTGCCGGCCATGTCATTTCTCATCATTGTCTTGTTTTCAATCACCCCGTTTCCATGATATTTACTCAAGATCTTATGGGTCTGTGGGCAATGTCAATCTACGGGCAATGTCAGTCTGGTCAATGTGGGTCTATGGGCAATCATAGTCCATGGGCAATCATAGTCCACGGGCAATGATAGTCCATGGGCAATGTGAGTATATGGACTGATAGTGTATGGGCAATGATAGTATATGTGCAATTGAGTCTGTGGACAGTGATAGGCCATGTGCAATGTTAGTCTTTGTCATTTCCCACCAACTTTGCATTGGATACTCCTCCCAGTTGCATCCAATGATTGTGCTTATGGAACTCAATTCACTCTCTCTCCACCCAAACTTGGAAAAATATAGTATATATATTTTTAAATGTCATAATTATTGTTGTTGTTGAGACGACTGTTTGGCATCCCATTTGAGTGACGGAAAGAGGAGCCCGTGCATTTGGGGAACATTCGCCGATGAACTGAGATCATTCAACACCCTGAAGACAAGCGTACATGTGGTCGTGTTTAGAATGGATGATGGACTGTGGCTAACCACAACAACAACAACAACAGAGCTGCAGCCGCATGGAATTGAGCGCGTTCGAGAGAGGACCTAAACCATCGATGGGAGATGGAGCGATTAAATCTGAAATCAGTTGCGGGTGGTTGGGGGCTTGGGTCAATCCTTGCATCGCCAGGATCGTGACACGGACGGCGAGTGGCGGCTTTTGAGAGGCCTTCATCCAGCAGTGGATCGCTCAATCGCACTCCCCTTTGCACTGGACGCGTGCAGGCAGCTTCATGCATCGCGTCTCGCCGTGCCTACCTTTTTTTCGCCCTCCCGAAGCGTTGGCTCTGTGGTGGCTGTCAATGTCCGTGGCTGAGATCCGCATGATGCTTAGCTCCCCCCAAACCTTCACGCAATCGACGATATAAATGAATGAAATAGAGAGCAACTAAAACATTTCGATTTAAAGCTTCTTTCGTGACTGCAGGGATTCATCTTCTTGGTTCTTTCGGTAAAGTCACGTAGAATGGAAATAATAAAGTAATACAAATAAAACATAATAAAATAATTCTCACGACGTTTCGGCTACGTGACTTTATCGAAAGAACCAAGAAGATGAATCCCTGCAGTCACGAAAGCTTTAAATCGAAAAATGTGTGTCCTGCCTTGTTAACGATCCATCCAGCAGTAGAGTTAGCGGCGTGTGCGCGTTGTTCTCCAGGTGACTGGGAGATGATGGAGCTCCACGGAGGGGAGAGGTCCCCTCGTGAGCTTGGGGGCTGCGCTGATGGAGAGAAGACCCCGTCGCCCACAGGAGGGGTCCCTGTAAGCAGGACCCACTCAGCAGCCAGCCACCGGCCACGGAAGCCATTCCGGTGGGTGCGCGCGTCACGTGATGGCGATGATGGTGGTGATGGTGATGATGGTGGTGATGATGGTGATGATGGTGGTGATGATGGTGGTGGTGATGGTGATAGTGGTGATGGTGGTGATGATGGTGATGATGATGACGACCATGGCGATGATGGTGGTGGTGATGATGGTTGTGATGATGGTGGTGATTATGGTGATGATGGTGATGATGATGGTGGTGATGATGGTGGTGATGATGGTGGTGATGGTGATGATGATGACGACCATGGCGATGATGGTGATGATGGTGACGATAATTATCACCATAGTGATGATGATAGTGATGATGATAGTGATGATGCCATGTGATGATGATTATGTGGATGATGCCATGTGATTATAGTGATGATGATAGTGATGATGACCGTGGTGATGATGGTGATGATGATCACGGTGATGATGATTGTGATGATGGTGATCGCGGTGACGCTGTGACAATACAATACTCTCCGGATTTATGAAGACGTCGTAATCCCGCATCTCAAGACGATGAACAGCAGCAAGAGTGAAAAGGGAATAGCGGGGAAAGGGAGGTTTGATGAGAATTATTGATGTGATTATTATTCTGCTTGATTACCCAAGAAAGCCTCACCGAGGCTCATGACTCATGTTCAGGAGAGGGTTTTGCCAAGTTTTCGCCTGGGTTGTTATGCATCATCCAAATCGGCTAGTGGATGAGTGCGCGTGTGCGAGTGTGAGTGGACGGATGTGTGAATGCGCGCGTGGGTGTGATTGCTGGCCACCCACCCCCTCGTGTGCCGTGCCGGTCTTCATAGGTGCTGCTCGCTAACAGCACTTGCCCCGACAGTCTATTGAGGCTATACGGGGGGCCTTTGTCTTTGTAGGTCAGTGGTTAGCGCGAAGCTTGCGACCCGAGTTCAATTCCCGCTCACGGCCCAAACCACTAACGAATGCTAAACCAGTTCTGGGCTTCCCCTAGGTCGACTCAGCCTTAAATTAGTACCCCGTGCGCTGTATAGTAAAACAAACAAAGCCCATCAACAATGGGAAGACAAAGGCGGCCGAGCGTGGTGGTCGCCACACCGGCCCGTCGCGTACCGCTGCCGGACCTTCGCAGGTTTATCGCGCTCGTTAAACGGCACTTGCCCCGACAGCGTGCCGAGGCTATCCGAGCGCTCAACCCTTTTGCCTTTGTGCGCAGGTCGACGAAGGGAGCGTCCAAGGCGCGCCGCGCGCTCCTCGGCGCGGAGCTGCGCGCGCTGCGGGACCTCCTCCCCGTGGCGCGCGGAGAGCGCGCGCGCCTCTCGCACCTGCACGTCATGGCGCTCACGTGCGTGCGCGCGCGCGCCGCACGCACGCTCGGCACAGGTGAGCGCGCGCGTGTGCGTGTGGTGTGTGTGTGTTGTGCGTGTGGTGTGTGTGGTGTGCGTGTGTGTGTGGTGTGTGTGTGTGTGGCGTGCGTGCGTGTGCGTATGCGCGTGTGTGTGCATGTGTGTGTATGTGCGCGTGTGTGTGGTGTGCGTGTGTGTGTTTGTGCGCGTGTGTGTGGTGTGCGTGTGTGTGTATGTGTGTGTGCGCGTGTGTGTGGTGTGCGTGTGTATGTGCGTGTGCGCGTGTATGTTTGTGCGCGTGCGTGCGATGTGTGTGTCTGTGTGTGCGTGGTAGCGTAGCGGTCAGCGCACTGCGCTACGACCCCGAGTTCGATTCCCACTCACGGCCAACACCCAGTGCCGATTATCTGAACCGGTCCTGGGCCACGCCCTAGGTCGACTCAGCCTCAAAATGAGTACCTGGTGCGGTGTGTAAACATCACCACTGGGGAGACAAAGGCGGCCGGGCGTGGTGTTGGCCACCCACCCCCTCGTGTGTCGTGTCGGCACTTCATAGGTGTCGCTAACAGCACTTGCCCCAAGAGCCCGTTGAGGTCAAACGGGCGGATTTTGTGTGTCGGTGTTTGTCTCTGCGCGTCAGTCCGGATGATGCTCATCCTACCTCCTCCTCCTCCTGCTGCTGCTGACGTCTGTGTCTGTGCCCGTGCCACTGCCTCGAGTTCATGTCGCGTAACCCCGGAGAGCGAGTCGCGATTGCAAGAGTCGCCTGGGTCACACAAACATCAACAACAACAGAAAACAACAAAATTATGAACAACGAAGCGAATAGAAATCGACACAAAAAAAGAAACCGCGTCACGTGATCAATTATCTGACCCCCCCCCCCTGTCCTCGCTGTGCCTCTGTCTGTAGGAGTCGCAGAGGGGGGCCACTGGGACCCCATCCTCGCCGACCCCGCCTCAGCGCTGCCCGGGTTCCTGCTGCTGCTCACGGTGCACGGGAAGATCGTGCACGTGGCCGACTGCGTGAGCGAGCACCTGGGCCACAGCGTGGTGAGTGCCCGCGGGGGGGGGGGGGGGTGGTGAGTGTGGTGGTGAGCGTGGTGGTGAGCGTGGTGGTGAGTGTGGTGGTGGTGAGCGTGGTGGTGGTGATGACAGTGATGGTGAGTGTGGTGGTCGTGGTGGTGTTTCTGGCAGAGGTGGTGATGGTAGTGATGATGATGACGATGTGGGTGGTAGTGATGATGAGGATGTTGATGGTAGTGATGATGATGTTGATGGTAGTGATGATGATGGTAGTGATGCTGATGAGGATGTTGATGATGAGGAGGATGTTGATGGTAGTGATGATGAGGATGTTGATGGTAGTGATGAGGATGTTGATGGTAGTGATGATGTTGATGGTAGTGATGATGATGAGGATGTTGATGGTGGCCAGCGTGGTGAGCGCGGTGGTGATGATGGCGGTGGTGATGGAAGTAATTCTGACAGTGGTGGCGAGTGTGGTGGTGGTGGTGGTGCTGATGCGTTACCTTCTGCTCGTGCCGCCAGGTGGAGCTGCTCTCGCAGGGGGACAGCATCTACGACGTCGTGGAGTCCAGCGACCACGAGGAGGTTCGCCTCTCGCTGCAGGGCCCCACCGCGCAGAGCCACCGCGCACGAGGTGACCACCTCCTCAACCCCGCACTCATCCCACCCACTCACCGACCTTACCACGCGCTCACTCACTCACCAACCTTTCCATTCACTCACCAACCTTCCCACGTACTCATTCACCAACCTTCCCACCCACTCACCAAACATCCCACCCACCCACTCACTCACCAAGCTTCCCACTCACTCACTCACCAACCTTTCCATTCACTCACCAACCTTCCCACCCACTCACCAACATTCCCACTCACTCACTCACTCACCAACCTTCCCACTCACTCACTCACCAACCTTTCCATTCACTCACCAACCTTCCCACCCATTCACCAACCTTACCACGCACTCACTCACTCACCAATATTTCCATTCACTCACCAACCTTACCACGCACTCACTCACTCACCAACCTTTCCATTCACTCACCAACCTTCCCACCCACTCACCAACCTTCCCACCCACTCACCAAACATCCCACCCACCCACTCACCAACCTCACCCCCCCCCCCCCCCCCCCCACCGTGACACCACCAGGTGCCGAGGTGTCCTTCGTGTGCCGCATGAACACCGCGCGCTCCATGCGGCGCCCGGGGCTGGGAGCCAGCCGGCCCATCCTGGTGCGCGGCCGCTACCTCCGGCGGCACGGAGGAGGAGGTGTAGGTGTAGGGGAGCCCGGTGGGGGGGGGCCCTGCGACTCGGAGTGGTGGGGGGGCGGGCCCCCCGTCCTCGCCGCGTTCTGCACCGCGGTGTGGCAGCCCGGCCCCGGGAGGGAGATGGAGGCCGCCTCGGCCGGCTGGGACCTCTCGTTCCAGTCGCTCCACTCGCTGGACATGCGCTTCCAGCAGCTGTCGGACAGGTACCCTCACTCACCCCCCCCCCCCGTGTGCAGCCCGTGCCCCCCCGTGTGTAGCCCATGTCAAAGAGCTTCGTAGCTCATCGGATTTATCCAGGATTAATCACGATTCCGATTCGGCAAATTGACGAGAATGTCGGAGATCGGCGCTAAAAGCAGCAACATCGTTCCAGTCGGAGTGTCGGCGTCGTTTAAACGGCGCGCAATGTTCAAGTTCATCTCTCGGTGTCACGGGGGGGTGAGCCGGGAGGTTGGTGAATGGGTTGGATTTGGATTTGAAGCTTTCGTGACTGCAGGGATTCATCGTTTTGGTTCTTTCGGTAAAGTCACGTAGAATGGAAATAATAAAATAATAAAAATAAAACATAATAAAAGTATATAATAAAATAATAACATAATATAATAACATAATATTATGTTTAATTTTTTTTATTTTATTATTTCCATTCTACGTGACTTTACCGAAAGAACCAAGAAAATGGGTTGGATGTTTGGTGAGTGCGTGGGAAGGCTGGTGAGCGGGTGGCAAGGTTATTGGGTGGGTGGTAAAGTTGGTGAGAAGCTCAGTGAGCGGGTGGGGATGTTTGGTGAGTGAGTCAGTTTGTCTCGGGAGAAATTTTTTTAAAAAGTGCGGGTCCTTTACTTTAAACAAACAAAAACTTACCGATGGATTCATGACTGGCGGTACTGATGGACTCATCTCTCGACGTGCCTTTGTCCGATCACGCGTTTTTTGTTGTTGACTGGCGGTGGTGTTTTTTATTGTCTTCTTCATCGTCGTCGTCGTTGTTGTCGTTGTCTCCCCGTCGCAGCGTGGTCTACCACCTGGGCCACGAAGCGGCGGCGCTGCGCGGCCTCTCGTGGTACAGCCTCGTCCACCCCCTCGACCTCGCGAGGGCGTCCGCTGAGCACGCGCGCTGCGGTGAGCCCCCGAGCAGCCCGCGACTCGGAACGTCGATTTGCTGCCCCAGTGAAGCCCGCTGAGCCGAGCAAAGGCAAAATCGAAAAATATGTTTTTGTTGTTGTTGAAATTTTGTCCCAGAAGCCACGGATGGTGGCCCAACGAAGTGGCCCTCGTGGTCGTGGCCTCGTGATCGCGGCCTCGAGGAGTTTGTGTCGCGGCAGCCGAGTCGTCGAAACGGCGGCACGATGTCGATTTGTAAACGTGGAGTGGGGGGGGGGGGGTGGTGGGATGCGGGAGACGCATCCACGCGACCACGGGGAGAGAGAGACACGCAAACTCCAAATATACAGCAGCAGGCGTCAGAGTCCCGGGCTCGAACCCATGACCTCCTGTATACCAGGCGAGGTAGTTAACATCTCCTAGCCACCGTGGGGCCATATACAGAGAGAACCGCAGAGCTGGAGCAGTTGTTATGCGTGCGCTGGCTCCTCACCGCTGCGTGGCTGCTGCTGCCTTCCCACTCCTCGTCTGTGGCTCTTCCTCCTGGCGCCTCCTCCGAGTCGTCCTCTCTCTCTCTGAGTCGTCCTGTCTCTCTGAGTCGTCCTGTCTCTCTGAGTCGTCCTCTCTCTCTGAGTCGTCCTTTCTCTGCGTCGTCCTCTCTCTCTGCGTCGTCCTCTCTCTCTCTCTGAGTCGTCCTCTCTCTCTCTTGAGTCGTCCTCTCTCTCTCTCTGAGTCGTCCTCTCTCTCTCTCTCTCTCTGAGTCGTCCTCTCTCTCTGTCTGAGTCCTCTCTCTCTCCCTCTCTGAGTCGTCCTCTCTCTCTCCCTCTTTAAGTCGTCCTCTCTCTCTCCCTCTTTAAGTCGTCCTCTCTCTCTCTCTGAGTCGTCCTCTCTCTCTCTGAGTCGTCCTCTCTCTCTCTGAGTCGTCCTCTCTCTCTCTGAGTCGTCCTCTCTCTCTCTCTCTGAGTCGTCCTCTCTCTCTCTGAGTCGTCCCCTCTGTCTCTCTCTCTCTCGCTGAGTCGTCCCCTCTCTCTCTCCCTATACGAGAGCGAGGAGCGGACACCGTGCGGCCGTGGTGCAGCGCTGCGACCTGCCGTTAATTCTTATCATCGTCACACTTCGTCGACTTCATCTCCCGTCTAATCACGTGGCCTCCCTCTCTCCTCCCGTCCCACCCGCTCCCCTCCTGCTCCCTCTTGCTCCCCCACCCCACCCTTCACCACCACCACCACCACCCCCTTGCCCCCCGCGCAGTGCGAGGCGAGGCCGCTGGCCGCCCGCTGGAGGTCGTGCTGAGGCTGCAGACGCTGCAGGGCGGCTGGTGCTGGGTGCTGGTGTCCGGCGCGAGACTCAGCGAGCAGCTGCCGCTCGTCCAGTGCTGCAACCGCGTGCTCAGGTGAAGCCTCCCGGGGGAGATCATCTCAAAGGGCAAAGGGGGCGACACCCCGTGGCCCTAGCCCCCCCCCCCCACCCCGCCCCCCTCGTCCCCCTCGTATAGCCGCCCGGCCCTTAGCTCACGGACGCTCACGTAACCACCCCAAGACCGCATCCCGATGCACCAATGGAAAACGTTGGATCGCCTGAATATATAAATGTGTCGTTAAACCTGCCGCCACCCGACACGGCCAACTAGTAAGGGTTGTGGCTCTGCATCCACTTCGGCAGGCGTACGGAAAGGGAGAATGCTCACGCACAGAGACACACACGGACACGCTCACTAAACCTTACCACCCACTCACCAACTTTTCCACCCACTCACCAACCTACTCACCAACTTTACCACCCACCTACTCACCAACCTTGCCACCCACCCATTCACTAACCTTGCCACCCACCCATTCACCAACCTTGTCACCCACTCACTCACCAACCTTACCACCCACTCACTCACCAACCTTACCACCCACCCACTCACCAAAACTTCCCACCCACTCACCAACCTTACCACCCACCCACTCACCAAACCTTGCCACCCACCCACCCACTCACCAAACCTTCCCACCCACTCACCAACCTTACCACCCACTCACTCACCAACCTTACCACCCACCCACTCACCAAACTTTACCACCCACCCACTCAGCAAACCTTACCACCCACCCACTCACCAACCTTGCCACCCACCCACTCACCAACCTTGCCACCCACTCACCAACCTTGCCACCCACTCACCAACCTTGCCACCCACCCACTCACCGACCTCTGCACCCACCCGTGTAGCCTCAGTGGGCTCCTGGGGCAAGTCGCTGTTGGCGAGTGGCACCGTCGGGGTGCGCGGGAGGGGGGGGCAGCAGGGCACGCGGCGCGGTGGGTGGCTGTGGCCAGCGCCACGCCCCGGCCCGGCCGCCTTTGTCTCCCTTAGGTGCTGAAATTTACAACACCGTTCCAGGCGAGCATTTTAAGGCTGATTCCAGCTACGAGGGTTTCCCGGGAACTGGTTTAGATAGTCGCCACCGGTGTTGTTGTCGTTGTTGTTGTTGTTGTCATTGTTGTTGTTGTCGTCGTGAGCGGGGATCGAACGCTCGGGGTCGCCGGGTTTGTAGCGCAGCGCGCTAACCACTGCGCCACCGCTCCCCCAAACGACGTGCGTGTATGTACGTGGAACTTCTTTCGCACCGCACGTGGCCGACCGTGCTAATCGGATGCCAACGTGCGCGTGCGTGTGCCTGCTTATTGTAGCGATGCCGAGGCCAAGTTCATGATCCAGCAGCTGCATGAGCGGAGGGCTTTGGCGGAGGGTGATGCGAGCGGGCGATCGGCCCCTCCCCTCCCAGCCCCCCCTCCCCTCCCAGCCCCCCGTCCCCTCCCAGCCCCTCCAACGTCAACTCCAAGTCGCCTCGCAGATCCAACCCCGCTGCAACTCGCGGACTCGACAAAGCAACGTCATCGACATCACCATCAATACCTTCATCCTCGCTGCCATGACGACGATCGCCATGAAGCAAGTGTCGGTTGCTCAATTGAACTCCGTAGTCAGGACAACCAGCAGCAGCAGCAACAACAGCATCATCAGCACCAACATCAGCAGCAGCATCCGTACCAACAGCAGCATCATCAGCAGCAACAGCAACATCAGGACCAACATCAGCAGCAGCAAAAGCATCATCATCAGCAGCATCATCAGCAGCATCATCAGGACCGACATCATCAGCAGCAGCAACATCATCAGCAGCAACATCAGCAGCAGCATCAGGACCAACATCATCATGAGCAATTTGTGCAGTGGTCGTGCATGATGGCTGCCACGAAACGTGGGGCGGAGCGCGATCACCAGCAGCCAGATGATGAAGAGTTCGTGTTGGGGGCGAAGCGGGCGAGACTGCAGCAGCATCAGCATCATCATCATGATCATCAGCAGCAGCAGCAGCAGCACGATTCTTCCGAGCAGCATCATCATCAGGATCATCAGCAGCAGCAAGATTCTTCCAAGCAGCATCAGCATCATCATCAGCAGCAAGATTCTTCCAAGCAGCATCAACATCATCATCAGCATCATCATCAGCAGCAAGATTCTTCCAAGCAGCATCAGCATCAGCAAGTGGAGCTGCTGCAGCTGGGGGTGACGTCGCCCGCTCCGCCAGCGGGCGACGTCTCCCCTCTCTGCACGCCCCCCTACACCCCCGGGGGACGACTCCCACAATTCTTCGGTGCCGGCTCCCCCCCGGCTCCTCCGACAACCGACGCCACGACCACCTCCTCCTCCACCTCCACCTCCTCCTCTTGTCTCGCCGATGTGTACGGAGAGTCCGACGCGAAGAGCCGTCCATTGTCATCATCATCGTCGTCATCGTCGTTGTTATCATCATCGTCGTCGATGACCAACGACTTCGTCTACGACGTCCTCCCTCCCACGCCCGAGAGCCCCGCGGACCGAGAGCCGAGTTGGATTCCCGGCACGGCCGCCGCGTTCGAGGACGAGGAGTGGCCGCGTGTCCTCGCCACGGCCTCGGAGATCAAACTCGGCCACAGCCACCACCACAACCACCACCACAACCACCACAACCACAACCACCACTACCACCGGCACAACCACGACCAGCACCGCCGCGTGGTCTACATGCCCGGCGAGAAGGAGCGCATCAACGTCATATTCGAGCAGATCAGCCGGATGGCCGAGAGCTTCGAAGGGTGCAGGACGGGCACGTCGTCATCATCTTCATCGTCGTCATCATCTTCATCGTCGTCGTCGTCATCTTCATCGTCGTCGTGGTCTCCGTCGCTCGATCACTCCAACTGGAGAGGCGACGCGTGGACTCCTGGCGTCAGCGAGTGGACACCACCGCCTTCGGACGGAGAAGGATCGTCCACCATCACCACCACCGCCAACCTCCTCCAGGAGAACACCATCGAGAGGATTCTGCAGGAGGCCATGAGCGACGAGGAGGAGGAGGCCCAAGACGACGAAGAAGTGGTGGTGGAGGAGGAGGTGGACGAGGCAGAGCGAGAGAAGAGGTCCCGCGGATTGTGCCGGCAGGCCGTGGGTGGCGAGGTCTCGGTGGACCTGGCGGAGGATGGTGGCCGGGCGGCCGAGGAGCTGCAGGCGCTGTTCGAGACTCTGGAGGAGCTCTTTGCAGGCTGGGGCGGAGACCCCGAGGGGCCCCCGAGCGAGTTGCATCAACTCAACGCGCCCGACGTCGTTTGCGGCGCACACCCAGGTGGGCAACACCCAGATATTAACTACCTCGCCTGGTATGCAGGAGGTCGTGGGTTCGATCCCGACCCTGAGTGACGCCTGCTGTATGCGTGCAGTTTGCGGTGTCTCTCTCTCTCTCATCATCATCACAGTGGCTAGGAGATGTTGACTACCTCGCCTGGTATGCAGGAGGTCGTGGGTTCGATCCCGACCCTGAGTGACGCCTGCTGTATGTGTGCAGTTTGCGGTGTCTCTCTCTCTCTCATCCTCATCACGGTGGCTAGGAGATGTTGACTACCTCGCCTGGTATGCAGGAGGTCGTGGGTTCGATCCCGACCCTGAGTGACGCCTGCTGTATATGTGGAGTTTGCGGTGTCTCTCTCTCTCTCATCATCATAAAAGTGGCTAGGAGATGTGGACTACCTCTCCTGGTATGCAGGAGGTCGTGGGTTCGATCCCGACCCTGAGTGACGCCTGCTGTATATGTGGAGTTTGCGGTGTCACTCTCTCTCTCATCATCATCACGGTGGCTAGGAGATGTTGACTACCTCGCCTGGTATGCAGGAGGTCGTGGGTTCGATCCCGACCCTGAGTGACGCCTGTTATATATTTGGAGTTTGCGTGTCTCTCTCTCATCATCATCATCATCACAGTGACTAGGAGATGTTGACTTCCTCGCCTGCTATGCAGGAGGTCGTGGGTCCGATTCCGACCCTGACTGACTCCTAAAATATATTTGGAGTTTGAGTGTCTCTCTCTCTCTCTCCCCGTGGGGTTTTCTCCGGGTCTTGTGATGTCGATGACGGTTATTCCCTCCACATTTAGAATGAACGTTCACGCGTTTAGAGTATTTGGCTGCTATACATTTCCACGCGATAAGCCACTTCGTCGAGCTATCATTTGTGGCCAGGTCACTTCTGAAAAAAAGCCACCTCGCTCAGTGGGGCCTTACCTGGTCAAATAAAAATGTTTAGTTTAATGACCTTGCTCTTTCAAGAAAACGTGTCGGGTGGTGGAGGCCGTTGACGACACAGATTTGGCTAGACCATTAACGTGGCGGCCAAACCTAAAACAACATAAAACTCCCCGTAGGCGATGCAAACACAACACAGTCGATGCATTTGAATCGCGTGTTACGCGGCGCTCACGAGCTTGTCAACCCATGCGGTTTACCCCGTAATCTTGTCCAGGGAAATTGAGTTGTCAGTCCTACACCGGCGTACAGCCGTTTCAATACGGGCAGAAAAAAACTTGTTTTGTCTGTTTGTGTTTCTCCCTTATGATGGGGCTTTGTAGGATGAACGTTGAGATTTAAAGGGGCACGCGGTGACCAGTAGGGTCTGAATGGGTCTGTGATCAGTAGGAAGCACTGATAAGGGGTTGACAGCTACGGGGATAATCCACTCGCTCGCCGCAACCTCAGCTCACACCACACTCGCGTTCTCTCCTTGCAGATGGGCGAGGAGGGAGCAGCCTCTTCTGCACGTGAACATAAGTCTGTGACTTACACGCATCGTATGGCATATTGTCATCGCGCAAGAGTCGGCGGACAACAAACAACAACGGCTTGACACCGTCTCACTGGCGTCAGACCCTTGTCCCCACAACACCCTCCCCCCACCATCCCCCCACCATCCCCCCCCATCCCCCCCCACCATCCCCCCCACCATACCCCCACCATCCCCCACCACCCCCAACACCCCCCACCATCCCCCCCACCATCCCCACCACTCCCACCACCCCCCACCACTAACCCCCACCACCCCCCACCATCCCCCCCACCACCCCCCCCAACACCCCCAACACCCCCCACCACCCCCACCCACCCCCCTCTGCGCTTTTTCAGCAGCGCAGTTGTGTTGTTAATCGTGCGGTTGTGTACACACACACACGGTTGTACACACACACGGTTGTACACACACACACACACGGTTGTACACACACACACACGGTTGCACACACACACACACACACGGTTGTACACACACACACACGGCTGTACACACACACGGTTGTACACACACACACACGGTTGCACACACACACACGGTTGTACACACACACGGTTGTACACACACACACACGGTTGTACACACACACGGTTGTATACACACACACACGGTTGCACACACACACGGTTGTACACACACACACACGGTTGTACACACACACACACACGGTTGCACACACACACACGGTTGCACACACACACGGTTGTACACACACACACGGTTGTACACACACACGGTTGTACACACACACGGTTGCACACACGGTTGCACACACACACACACGGCTGCACACACACACACACACGGCTGCACACACACACACACGGCTGTACACACACACGGCTGCACACACTCACACGGCTGTACACACACACACGGCTGCACACACACACGTACACGAGGGTGATCCGTGTAACTGCGGCAAGCCCCTCACTTTAATGCGCTAGTGCGGTAGATGCGTTCCTAAAAAGTGCCCGCGCTGAGCGGAAACTAAACTGATGTCCACGTGAATAATCCGGTGACGATTATGTGTGGCGAGGTACCACGGACTGCTTAGAAGCCGCGTTATATCGGCGTGTGTTGTAACGGTGTGTTTCCGCGTTGTAACGGTACGCGTTATAACGAAGGTGTGTGTTGTAACGGTTCGTGCTCCGTGTTATAACGGTGCGCGTTCCGCGCTGTGCGGCACGTGTTCCTGAATGGAAGAACCGCCTCTGTAGCGAACGACACGGAGTGTGAACGCGGCCACGCGTTAAGCGAGGAGTCGCCGCACAGACGCCCCCCACTCACACAGCGGGGAATGTTTCACTGCTGCTGTTATTGACGCTGCTGCGTTGGACGTGGCACGCAGACTGAAGAACAGATAGTCAACACGCTTGTCAATAACACATTGGCCTTAAAAGGAATGTGTGTATATGTTTTATATATGTACAGGGACTCATCTACTTACGCACGAGTTAGGTTCCAGAGGTCTGTTCGTAAGTCGATTTGTTCGTAAGTCCAACTTTACTCCTGTCGATTCCAAACTTGTTATACGGCGTGTACACTAAACACTGGGAATGGCTTTAGAAGTTGTATAATCTCATGTAGATGCCACTGGTTCTTCACGTTCTGTAGATACCACTGGTTCTTTGCGTTCTGCAGATGTCACTGGTTCTTCATGTTCTGTAGATGCCACTGGTTCTTCACGTTCTGCAGATGTAGATGCCACTGGTTAGTCACGTTCTGCAGATATAGATGCCACTGGTTCTTCACGTTCTACAGATGTAGATGCCACTGGTTCTTCACGTTCTGCAGATGTAGATGCCGCTGGTTCTTCACGTTGTGTAGATGTAGATGCCACTAGTTCTTCACGTTCTGCAGATGTAGATGCCACTGGTTCTTCACGTTCTACAGATGTAGATGCCACTGGTTCTTCACGTTCTGCAGATGTAGATGCCACTGGTTCTTCACGTTGTGTAGATGTAGATGCCACTGGTTCTTCACATTCTACAGATGTCGATGCCACCACCGCCATATATTGCGCGGCGGTTGAACTTACGACTCTCGATCTGAACAGGCAACTGGATATATAGATCAGGTTCGTTCGCATCTCTGAAAGTTCGCAAGTCGAATGTTCGTAAGTAGAGAAGGAGTCCCCTGTATAAAGTAGGCGATGTGTCAATGGCCCTTGTCATTGACCCCACGTTTTGAGTTTGTTTTCATATAAAAGGGAGAATATTTACAGATCAACATAACGCGATTGAAAAGCCTCAAACACGTCTCTGCCACCGATCCCAATCGCATAAACGCGTTAACATCCCCTCTTCACTCTCCCCTCTGTCGGCCGGCACTTTCACAATGCAGTATAGTACCGTACTCAATCAACTGTTGAAAACAAAGAGGGTTGCATTACAAATCAGTTAGGTATCGATAAGCGGATCACCATTGTACATTGTCGGTTGTGTTGTTTATTGTCGAGGTACGGATTCGTGTTGGTACTTGTCCAGCCACGTTGAGCGTTCACCGCGTGGCTGCCTAACTTTGAAGAGAAGACGGTATCCGTGTGTGTGTGTGTGTCTTATGCACATCTCTGGTGTGTGTGTGTGTGGCAGAGGTCGCAAACGGGTTTTGATTCCTTACCCGTACCCGTACCCGGCCACACCAGGGTCGCAAACGGGTACCCGTACCCGGCCGTACCAGTACCCTACCCGTGCCCGGCTGGGTACGGGTCGGGTACGGGTATCGGGTACCTGATTGCGACGTCTGGGATGAAGCCATGTTACAGGCGCGGGTGGGTTGATTCTAGGAACTTGAATTGTGAGAAGAGACAAGACGTTGGGAAATGAGTGACAAACAGTTACTCACCAGTGACTCACGGCCTACCCGTACCCGGCCGCACCAGGGTCGCAAACGGGTACCCATACCCGGTCGGGTACGGGTAGCCGGGTATCGGGTAGGGTACGGGTATCGGGTACCCGGTTGCGACCTCTGATGTGTGGGGTGCGTTGTTTTAGCAGCGATAGTCGAGTGGTCAGCGCGCTGAGCCGACGAAGCCGGCCATCCGAATTCGTGTTCCCGCTCACGGCCACCAGCAACCGGTGACGATTATTCTGAACCGGTCCTGAGACTCCCCTAGGTGGACTCGGCCTCAAATGAGTACCTGGTGCGGTGTGTAAACATGGCCAATGGGGAGACAAAGGCGGCCGGGCGGGCGTGGTTGCTGGCCACCCACCCCCTCGTGTGCGGTGCCGGCCTTTATAGGTGCTACTCGCTAACAGCACTTGCCCCACCAGCCTATTAAGGCTATACGGGGGATCTGTGTCTTTGGTACGGAATTCTATTTTCAACGGTTCAATTGTACGGTACCGTTCGCTGGCCGTGATGACATTATTGTGTGAAACGTCATATTTATCTATTGTACATAAAACCAGAATTGAAAAGTATTTCTATTTTACACGACTTAAGAGGTGAAACTGTTATTTTTTGTAACTGTCAGATGTGTGCTATGACTGTGATATATTAAATTTGCAAAACCAAAAATGTTGACCACTCCAGTTTATTTTTTCATGTTAGCTACCTCGCCTGGTCTACAGGAGGTCGTGCGTTCGATCCCAACCCTGACGCCCGCTGCTGTGTATTTGAAGTTTGCGGGGTCTCTCTCCCAGTGAGTCGTGGTGCGGTTTTTCTCTGGGTCCTCCGGTTTTTCCCTCCACATTTAGAAACATCACGCGTTTCGAGTATTTGGCTGCTAAAACTTTCCACGTGATAAGCCACTTCATTGAGCTATCACTTGCGGTCAGGTCGCTTCTGAAAAAGAGCTCAGTAAACCTTACCTGGTATAATAAAAACACATTTAAATAGTTGTAATGGTTTATTTTATATCATAGAATAGGTTTGGCGTTAATGTTTTTCCGAACCCTACATTCACTTTTTTTGAATCCATGACTGGATGATTACCCGAAACGTTTTACCCATGGTACACAGCGGGTTAAACAAAAAGTTGCTGACGCGCCCCTACTGGACATGTGTGCAAAAAGAGCTTCATAGCTTATCGGATTTGGCCAGGATACGATGGGTTAGGCTGTGACGGCATCCGCATCGCACTGGGCGTGGCTTGTATGGGGGGGGGGGGGGGTTCCAGCCTTCAGGAGACGGGATGTGGGTTAAGGGTGGCTGTCGTAATTTAAGCGGCCCAAGCAATCAACCTACAAAACACATTCCTGCGGAGGGAGCTGGTAGGAACGTTGGGTTGCTCGGCTAATGGGCAGGGTCAACGGCGGCGTGGTGTATTCCGCAAATATGCCCGACTGTGAGGGCGGGCACAAGCCGGCGTGAGTAGGTTAAACGTTGAGTTTTATAAGGGCACCACGGGGTGACCAGCCCCCCCACACCCTCCCCACCCAGCCCCTCCCTGCACGACGGACACAATAATCCCCTGTGGGCTGTGTGTAACCAGGAGGTTCCTACCAGTGAAAGTCGATTATAATCAAGCAATTACATAGGCGTGAACCCGTACGGTTAACCCCGCAATCTTGTACAGGAAACCCGATTTGTCAGGCCCATAGGGGCGCACAGCCGTTTCAATACGGGGATTTGTAATTGTCTATTTGTGTTTCTCCCTTGTGATGGGACTTTGTAGCAGAGATGGGACAAAGTCATTGTTATGCAAGTCCAAGTCGAGTCTCAAGTCATCAAATTCATGACTCGAGTCTGACTCGAGTCCAAGTCACATGACTCGAGTCCACACCTCAGAGGTGGGACAAAGTCATTGTTATGCAAGTCCAAATCGAGTCTCAAGTCATCAAATTCATGACTCGAGTCTGACTCGAGTCCAAGTCACATGACTCGAGTCCACACCTCTGCTTTGTAGGATGAACGTTGAGATTCACAAGGGGCACGGGGTGACCAACAATGTCTGAATTGGTATGTAGTAAGCTAGGCAGCGCTGATAAGGGGGGTTGCAATTGAGCGACTCTCGCTATAAAGCATCCAGTTGGCAAACACCGCCACACGCCGCGGAACGTACAGACCCAGAGTCGTACAGGCAGAGACGTCGTGCAGTCAAAGAGTCGTACAAGCACAGAGTCGCAGAGGCTCAGAGTCCTTCAGGCACAGAGTCGCACAGGCACAGAGGAGTCGTAGAGGCACAGAGTCGAGCGGCAACGTCGTTTTCCGTGGAGGCAGTTTATAAAGGAAACCTGCAGAAAGCCCAAGGATATGTAACAAATCATTTAACAAACAGAAACCATAAACCAGTGTTCATCATCGCCAGGGGGGCTGGTGGGGGGGGATGTTTAGACCGCTTGTTTTGATGCATTTTTTTCTCACGAGTGTAATATTGTAAATAAATAACTCATGTGATTGTTGAAACAGTACATTTTAGATTACGTGTCATATATAATAGAAATAAAACTGCATTTGAACGCATTCAACACTTTTCCCAATAACGACTTCATCCTCCATCCACAGAGTACAAAGTGGTTTTTAAAGTAACGACACCTCGGCAAAACGCCAGGGGTCAACAACAAGTAGCGAGTACGACCTTTGTCGAGCCCAGCGGCTTCGGGACTTAAACAACAAGCAAGTGCCGTGCAGGCAGCGTGTAACAATTGAGGATCGTAACATTTACCGCGGGGGAATCCGCTGGAGCTTCCAAGCTCTTTCTCACAGGCGTCGGAGACGGCGAGCACCACAAACTGTGGCTTCGCCGCTCAAATTCACGAACAAATTCTCTTCGAGAACGCTTCACGGCGGCACGCAACACCGCCTCTTCAAGTCGTGGCCGCAAGGGATGGGGTTCTGGTAATTAAAATAAAAAAACCCCCACGGCACACACAAACACGGATCGAGCAGCAAGAGCTTCTCTTGCCAGCTCCACGTCAGCACGCGGTCGTGTTGATCGACTGTCATCGATGGAACCGACTTCTACTGCTGTCGTCATTTCAGAAGCAAGGGGTTGGGGAAGCTACTCGCCCTTGGACCAGACGTGACCCACAACTTCAACTCAAGCGGTCCGCAGGCCACACAAGGCCAAACCAATTTCAGACGGCCCCTGGGCGAGATGTTAACTACCTCGCCTGGTATGCAGGAGGTCGTGGATTTGATCCAGACCCTGCTCTATATTTGGTGTTTGCGTGTCTCTCTCTCATCATTACGGTGGCCAGGAGATGTAAACTACCTCGCCTGGTATGCAGGAGGTCGTGGGTTCGATCCCGACCCTGCTCTATATTTGGAGTTTGCGTGTCTCTCTCATCATCACGGTGGCTAGGAGATGTTAACTACCTCGCCTGGTATACAGGAGGTCGTGGGTTCGATCCCGACCCTGACGCCTGCTGTATATTTGGAGTTTGCGGTGTCTCTCTCTCTCTCTCTCGTCGTGGTCGCGTGGATTTTTCTCCGGGTCCCTCTGGTTTTTCCCTCCACATTTAGAATCAACATCACGCGTTTGGAGTATTTGGCTGCTGTACATTTTCAAGCGATAAGCCACACAGTTGAGCTATCATCTATGGCCAGGTCGCTTCTGAATAAGAAGCTGCGCATAGCTTCAGTGGGCCTTGCCTGGCGAAATTACTAAAAAAACGTTTATAAAACGAAATTTATTCACGGCTCAAAATTTGATTTTTCGGTTCGGCTGTGTAATGATTTTGTCAAGCATATGTCGTGAGAGCGTGTTGACACCGGCCACAAATCGAACGTGAATTTGCCACTTGCACGAGCGTTGACTTAGGCCAGATCATGACGGAGTGGTCTCACCCAAAAAATTTATCTTTTGAATCATCATATAGGCTGCGAAAACCGATGCTACGCTATTTATCAATCACTACCAGCATCTCAGCCGCACTAATCAGATACCAGAGGCGATATATAATTAACCTGTAACAACACCTAACTGAGGAGCTCCCTCTAGGTCCACTCGGCAAAAAATAGCCAGCATTAGCAAAGTGCGTCCACCCATTAACCGGGTGCTGAAGCTGCCCTCTGTGCTGCTCCGTGAGGCGTGCCCTCCCTAAAAGCGAAGCACCACAGATATGCCCAAGCACGTGTGCTTGTGTGCACGACGTGTATCTGTGCTCCTGGATGTATGTGTGCATTGTGTACACGTATCACGTCGTGTCTTTGTATGCTTTAGTTGTGCACGTGTCGATAGGTGGGCGGGCGTGATGCTGACCACATCGTGAGCCCTTGTGTGCCGTTTCCAGTCCTAGCAGGTGCATGCGAACACAATTTAAAGCCCCAATAACTTATTGAGGTTATACAGGTCATGTTTGCCCGTGTGGACGTGTGCTTGTCCATGTGTGTGTTAGTGCGTGCGTGTTAGTGTGTGGGTGCGTGTGTGTGTGTTAGTGTGTGGGTGCGTGTGTGTGGGTGCGTGTGCGTGCGTGTGGGTGCGTGTGGGTGCGTGTGGGTGCGTGTGGGTGCGTGTGGGTGCGTGTGGGTGCGTGTGTGTGTGTTAGTGCGTTCAAGAGCTGGGTCAACGTGGAGTCGCCAGCCCTCATGGCACCCAGTGCTCCCGAGTTCACACACCTAGGACACACGCGCACACACACACACACACGGAGTTACACTGAGCGACTTCACACTGAACACCATGACAGTTGTTCGAGTAGCAAGGGCCTCGACTGCGATGGGAATCTGTCAAGATGTCAGCGCTTGGATGGGCGTTGGTGATGCATTAAACAGGCTTTTACAGGCAGCTGCGTGGCTACGCTGTCGGAATCAGGAGGACGGTGCAGCAAAAATCCACCGTTGTACTGCGTGCCTATGCTCCCACATCAATGCTCCCCGTCCCACCAGCCCGCACTGATCAGCGTGGTGAGGTCTGGTTACACAGCCCTGCGTGACCCGCACGCTATGGGGAGGCCCTTGTCCTGCAGTGGGTTGTCAAAACGGCCGTACTCATCAGGAAGGTGGAAGCCGGGCAGTCTGGTGGTGGTGGTGGGTTCTCTGTTCAGGTGTGTCTAGAGATAGATGGAAGCCAGGCGGTCTGGTGGTCGCCTGCTCCAATGTTTGCTGGGCACGTTGCTTGCAGCCCATGAGTTGGTCCGTGCCGTTCGGATGCCGAACTCCGCATCACGCAGAGTTTGTTTATTGCTCACCGCAGGGTGGAGACGTCCATGCGGTAGCCTCACCCTTCACCCACCTCCACTCCAATCGGTTACTCTCCTTGGTGTTCTCGACGAAGCTTCTGTGGGGATGGCAGTCGTTATGGAGAAGGGTGATTGCGTTGAACGCGTGTGCAGAGAAATGTAGACATTCGTAAAGGATAATTGAAAGTTGAAAAAGTTAAATGAATTACTTTGTGAGGTGGCTCAAAACGTTGAGCTGGCACAGCAGAAATCCTGGGCCGGAACCCGGCTTTAGAGCGCGCGTGATTATGCCAGGATCTCAGCTCTCGTGAGTTGATGGTGTCAGTGTAACCCTACGTCAATATTGGCTCAAGGGGGGCAATTAACTTTCCCCACTTTGCCTATTTTCAACAAAATAAAGATTTTTTACAATATATATTAACCAATATAAATCTATGCACTCGCGCACCCATACACCCACGCACTTACCCACCTACACAAGGCAAACCCGCCCCCCTCCCCGTACAGCCTACACAGTAAGCTGTTGAAACCGCTGTTAGCGAGTACCTATTAAGGCTATCATGGCGCATAAGGGAGTGATCTTGCCAGCCCCAAGCCCGGCCGCCTTTGTCTCCCCAGTGCTGATGTTTACACACTGCACCGGGTACTCATTTAAGGCTGCGTTGATCAGCGCCGATTCACTTTACTCACTGGACCAGTTTCAGACGATTCATCCCTGACGTTAGCAGCTTTGAGGAATCGAAACGGGGGTCTCCAGGTTAATAGAACAGTGCACCAACCACTATTACACCGCTCCAATACCCCGCCCATCGCCACCAAGTGACGGTGACGTCACCACGGCGCCTGTGCCAGGCCAGGTGCACTTTCAGGCCACGTGAAGTGTCGGAGGCTCACCGAAAGGTCACGGGACACACCCAGCAGGTGCCATCGGTTGACTGACGTGAGATGACTGGCAGATGCACCAGCTGTGCCGCCCCCCCCCCCCCCCACTGATCCACCACTCCCCACACCCACCCACACGCCCAATTTTGATTTCTCAACCACGAGGCTTCAAAATGCCTGTCTGAGAGAGAGCCCCGGGCACCCAGCCTAGGTGGAGTTCGCATCCGCAAGGCGAGGGCGATCTCGTCGCTTCTGTTCGACCGCTGTAAACCGACGGAGGGCACCGTACCGCACGATGGCGGGCAGCCTGGGGTCGCGCCAGATGTGCTGGTGCCGGTACCCGCACGCCGCCGGGAAGCTCGCGAAGCGGACCGTTTCGCTGTGTTGGGGCCGCGCCAACATCATCAGCAGGTACAGCTTGTGGCCCATGTGGTAGGGCACCACCGGGTCGTCGCGCGAGTGCAGCACCAGCAGGCGGCTCGTGACGTGTACCAGCCTAGGTGGGGGCGGGGTGGCAGGTTTCATCTCAGCCCATGAATGTACGTACATATGTATGTCGAACTTCTTTCGCGCCGTACGTAGCCAGCCGTGCCCCACTGGGGTCGAGACAATGAGCACCATTTTGCGGCGAGGTCAACGGCGGTTGACTGGACATCCGTGAATATACTGGAGGCATGTGAAAAGAGCTTTATAGCTCATCGGATTCCTCAAGCCTAAACAAATATTCTCATTCTGGTCGTTCTATGGATCCACTCAACCACCACACCTCCCCCCCTCACCCCCCGACATAGGAATGTGGAATTTCCACCACCGGCTCAGGGTTTGACTTTGAACTGAAACTCACTTTTCATCAATGGCAAAACGTATTCCGTTGTCCTCCAGGGGTTTGACGAAGAACCAGTCGAATGCTGGGAAGAACCTGTAGATCTGCACGCGTGGAGGTAGGGACAGACCAGGACGAGCACAGGGTTCATTGGCCGAGATCCATGACTCGGGCAAAAAGATCGCAACACAATCGATTCCGACGGACGGAAAGGTAACGTAGCCCAGACTTGTTCAAAAGAGCAACTGACAATGGCAAGTCGCATTGATATCACGGCTCCTGAAATGTATTGCTACGGAACGATGCTGCATCCAAGCTGGACCCAAAGAGTGGCCAACGTAGAACTAAGAAAAAGGTTGCACATTGATGAGGACCCGACGCAGGCAGTGATGAGAAGTAAATCGGCACACGTGTAGGATAGGCAACAGGGAAATGAAAAGGAAGAAACTGGAAAGAAACGAAGTCCTATTCTTGATTCTTTCGGTAAAGTCACATAGAAGGGAAATAATAAAAGAATAAAAATAAAACATCATAAAATTCTCACGACGTTTCGGCCACAACGCAAGCAGCCGTCCTGAGAATTGTATTATGTTTTTATTATTATTTTACTATTTCCCTTCTACGTGACTTTACCGAAAGAACCAAGAATATGAATCCCTGCAGTCACGAAAGAAGCTTTAAATCGAAACGAAGTGCTAACAGAGAATGGCTTGACGAGGACCACATAAGAGATTGGTGCCGGAGAGATGCGGCCACGACTTGATCATGTTGGCACAACACAGAGAAAAGTGGAAACAAAATGACGAAATGCACATTGGACATCTGTCCATGGATCGTGATGATGATGGTGATGAGCGCAGCCCACAAGGGACACAAAAACCACCAAGCGACCAGCAACAAACGGCACTGTGGAAGGTGTAATGTCTAAGGAGTCAACACGTTTCTTGAATTGCTCAGGGTTATGATCCGAAATTTGCAAAAGAGACAACGGGAGGACATTACAAAGTGGGGCATTGCGAGGGGAGAAGCATAAATAACTGTCGTGAGCTGCAATGTGGTGAGTGGGTTGAGTGTGAGACGTTTGGGTGAGTGAAAGCATGAGTGAGCGAGTGAGTGAATGCGTGCGTGAGGGAGTGGGTGGGTGGGTGAGTGGTGAGTGAATGAGCGAGTGGGTGGGCGAGTGAGTAAGTTGGGGAGCGGGTGAGTGTGTTGTCGCAACCTGCAGTGTTGCGGTGGTTGAACACAGCGGTGGATGAGACTAAACAGTCAATGTCTGATAGACCCGAGTCCTCGACACGTGAGGAGGAACCAATGAGTGAAGTTCACGGGAACAATAACCACGGCAGTAGCAACGGCAGAGTACTACGGAGGCAACTGACCGCCGGTAAGCGAGTGGCCACCAGAGTGAACGAATCAGCGAGTGCTTGATCATCAAGCATCCCGACAGCTACTCGATGTTGAATTCTATCGAGCGTAGTGACGAAGCAACCGGGTGCTCCATCCCAGATATGACGACGATGACAACGACAACATCCCAACCTTAGCTGAGTATGCAGCAACACGCTCAGCGGAGGTGTAACACAGAATGACTATCGCCCGAATCGTCACCTGTCACAAAAAAAAAGTGTCAGGCCACAGTGGTTATTGACGAGCGTGTCGAGTGTTTTTTCCCTGTTGTTAAATAATCGTGCTCGTGCACCGCTGCCAACGCGGCAGTATCGGCAGCAGCATCGCCGAATAAATCGTAAACGGGGGAGCGGAGGTGGCAGTGTGTTCGATGCTCACCAGGCTCATGGGGTGGTTCATCCAGGTCATGGGCCTCCCCTAGGTCGACTCAGCCTGTAATGAGTACCTGGTGCAGTGTGTAAACATTGCCACTACGAAGATAAAGGCGGTCAGGCATAGAGCTGGCCACCCACCCCCTCGTGTACCGTTCCGGCATTCATAGGTGTTCGTTAACAGCACTTGCCCCTACAGTCTGTTAAGGCTAAACGGGGTTGTATTTGTCTTTGATGCTCACCAGGCTCATGGGATGGTTCCTGATCTCATCGCGCAGATTCGTGAACGGAGACTCCAGGACGAGGCCATCCAGCCGCCCACCTGGGCACGTTCCACACATTTTGGTAACAGCATGGTCAATAAAAAAAACCAATATATATTGCCATGACAATGTATGTTTGTTCTTTAGTTTTGCGGAGGCAATGCACGGGCCCGTTACATCACGTTGTGACGCACGTAAATACCATCGACGTAAGCCAAACCGGTTATGAAAAGCAGGGGATAGAAAGATGGGGAGGGGGCTCGCTGCCCCAAATATGTGTGTATGTTGAACTTCTTTCGCACCGTACGTAGCCAACCGTGCTCATCGGAGGTTTGGGGAAGGACAACAAACTAAACACAAAAAGCAGTTCTATAAAAATGAGTTTTCAATCTATATTTAAAATCACATAGCTCCAGTGGCTTCCTAATATCGGAGGGAAGAGCATTCCAGACGGCCGCAGAAGAGCATCTGAAACAAAGGGAGCTGCCACAGTGGTGTATTGCTCAGCAGCGCACTGTACTCGCAATCAAGAGGTCGCGAAGTTCCATTCCATCTCCCGAATCTACGTACGCCTGCGTATGCCAATCGGTGCATTCGCGACTAAAACTCCACCGGAAACAATAACCGGCGGTTCGTAGCATCTGGGAGCTGGTGACCGATTCCGGAAACAGTTCCCGGTTTTAACGGGCAGTTGTGCAACAACCCTAACACTGTGTGAAGGTGAATGTGTGTGTGTGAGATCGCATTTGTATCAAACGAGTAGGAAGTGAGAAAGTCTTACCTTCCTTGTTGATTTGAAGAGCCAGGTTCGTGGCAACCCTGTTACAAAATAAGACAACAGTTAGCTATTACAACTCGACAACTCTGTTGCACAAAGAATACGGGGGAAGGAAATATGATCACATCACATCGGTAAAATGGGAAAAAAAGAATTGCATTGGCTTCCAGTAAAAAAACGCCTCAATTTCAAAATCTAAACACTGAGTTTAGGCGATCCATGGATAGACATGCACTTGGTCGTTTCATTGAAACTCATTTATGAAGACGTTTCAAACAAAGTTCAAACCTCTATATGTCTGTCTGTCTGTAAATTGGGGTCACAATAACTCTCCATAAGTGAAGGCCAATGTATTGCCGTTAGGGGACTTGCCCTCAGTAAAGCCCAGCCAAATTGATCACAGGGTTGGTCCTTTCAGGATCGAACCCATGTCCTTCTGCATACCAGGCGAGACAGTTAAAATCTCGTCAACGTGGCAACCACCGTGCCTAGATGATCAATCACAGTTAAAGGATCAACACGGTGGAAAGCAATTACAAAATCCATGCGGGTGCGTGATTTGTCTTCCTCATCATCATCATGATTATTGTCATCACCACCGGCGTACCCGCTGCCGAGCGAGTGTCCCCACACGAACAGGGGGCTCTTCTGGCTCCGCGCAACAATCCACTTGTACGTGGCGAGGGCGTCCTCCGTGATGGCGACCTCCGACGGGGAGCCCACCGAGTCGCCCCACCCTGCCCGGCACACGTGGTTTAGGAATTGAGAGATGGCAGTTGGTGGGAGTAGGAGGGAGGTGGAATGAGGGCATGGTGAGGAATAAGAGATGGCAGTTGGTGGGAGTAGGAGGGAGGAGGTGGAATGAGGACACGGTGAGGAATGAGAGATGGCAGTTGGTGGGAGTAGGAGGGGGGGGAATGAGGGCACGGTGAGGAATGAGAGATGGCAGTTGGTGGGAGTAGGAGGGAGGGGGGGGGGGAATGAGGGCACGGTGAGGAATGAGAGATGGCAGTTGGTGGGAGTAGGAGGGGGGGGAATGAGGGCACGGTGAGGAATGAGAGATGGCAGTTGGTGGGAGTAGGAGGGGGGGGGAATGAGGGCACGGTGAGGAATGAGAGATGGCAGTTGGTGGGAGTAGGAGGGGGGGGAATGAGGACACGGTGAGGAATGAGAGATGGCAGTTGGTGGGAGTAGGAGGGGGGGTGGAATGATGGCACGGTGAGGAATGAGAGATGGCAGTTGGTGGGAGTAGGAGGGGGGGGAATGAGGGCACGGTGAGAAATGAGAGATGGCAGTTGGTGGGAGTAGGAGGGGGGGGAATGAGGGCACGGCGAGGAATGAGAGATGGCAGTTGGTGGGAGTAGGAGGGGGGAGGTGGAATGAGGGCACGGTGAGGAATGAGAGATGGCAGTTGGTGGGAGTAGGAGGGGGGGGAATGAGGGCACGGCGAGGAATGAGAGATGGCAGTTGGTGGGAGTAGGAGGAGGGGAATGAGGGCACGGCGAGGAATGAGAGATGGCAGTTGGTGGGAGTAGGAGGGGGGGGGGGGAATGAGGGCACGGTGAGGAATGAGAGATGGCAGTTGGTGGGAGTAGGAGGGGGGGAATGAGGGCACGGCGAGGAATGAGAGATGGCAGTTGGTGGGAGTAGGAGGGGGAGGTGGAATGAGGGCACGGTGAGGAATGATAGATGGCAGTTGGTGGGAGTAGGAGGAGGGGGAGGAGGAATGAGGGCACGGTGAGGAATGAGAGATGGCAGTTAGTGGGAGCAGGGGGAGGTGGAATGAGGGCACGGCGAGGAATGAGAGATGACAGTTGGTGGGAGTAGGAGGGGGGGAGGTGGAATGAGGGCACGGTGAGGAATGAGAGATGGCAATTGGTGGGAGTAGGAAGGAGGGGGAGGTGGAATGAGGGCACGGGGAGGAATGAGAGATGGCAGTTGGTGGGAGTAGGAGGGGGAGGTGGAATGAGGACACGGCGAGGAATGAGAGATGGCAGTTGGTGGGAGTAGGAGGGGGGAGGTGGAATGAGGGCACGGTGAGGAATGAGAGATGGCAGTTGGTGGGAGTAGGAGGGGGGAGGTGGAATGAGGGCACGGCGAGGAATGAGAGATGGCAGTTGGTGGGAGTAGGAGGGGGGGGGGTGGAATGAGGGCACGGTGAGGAATGAGAAATGGCAGTTGGTGGGAGTAGGGGGAGGTGGAATGAGGGCACAGTGAGGAATGAGAGATGGCAGTTGGTGGGAGGGGGGGGGGGGAATGAGGGCATGGTGAGGAACGAGAGATGGGGGGATGGCAGTGGGGAGGGAAGGAGGGAGTGGAGGGAGGGAGAGCCCACGTGTTCTGGAGAGAATGAAAAGTTACAACTTCCCAACGCCCTACCCCCCCCAGCCCCTCCACCCCAGTGATTTCAGGAATTCTCACGATGAATGATCGCGAGTCGATTAAAGGATTGATTCGTTTTCAAACACTGCGGTGAATAGTCGTGCCACTAGCGCATGGCGGGGTCAAGTTAACCCATTACATACAAGGTGTACGGATCGAAACACATCGATACGTGCACAAGTGAATCGATGCAGTTATTGCGAGTTGTAGAATAGATATTAACAGGATGATTTGATGCATCGTTCCACCGTTAGTGCCTAGAGCAGGACTACGGGCTGCTGTAATTTCAGCGTGGAATTATTAACGTAATTTGGTTGTCCACGGAAGCCTCGCTTGAGTCTCAAGACTCTTTCTCAGGAGGGTCCTTGATTTTGATGTTTGGCCAATTTGATTAAGCGAGGTGGGGGGTTGAGGAGGGGGTGATTATATTCGAGGAAACCAATAATACAAAAAACCCACTGAGCTTACGAAGGGATACCACTCAAAGGTGGACTTCTCTATTTTTATTTTACCAGGTAAGGACGCACTTAGCTATATAGCTCTTTTTCAAAAGCGACCTGGCAATCACTGATAGCTCAACGAAGTGGCTTATCATCATGTGGAAATACATAGCAGCCAAATACTCTAATGTGTGTTTATTATCAATGTGGAGAGAAAAACCAAAGATTTGAAGCTTTCGTGACTGCAAGGATCCATACTCTTTGGTTTTTTTCGGTAAAGTATTAACCCACGTGACTTTACCGAAAAAAAACAAAGAGCATAAAAACCAAAGAACCCGGGGAAAAATCCACGCGACCACGGGGGGAGAGAGAGACATGCAAACTCCAAATATACAGCAGGGGTCAGGGTCCAGATTCGAACCCACGACCTCCTGTATACCAAGCGAGGTAGTTAACATCTCATAGCCACCGTGGCAAGATGTTAACTACCTAAGAGATAGGTAAAGAACCCATTTTCTGTGCTGCCATTTCACAGCCCAGTGGATTTGGAATATTCTCAAATCAAATCCGTACCGCCGACGCATGCCTCCAAGTGCCAACGTCACAGGTGTGCACCACCGCATGCGCGTTTGTGTTGCGTGCGACGATCATTCGGAAAAAATGCAAGCTGGCATTACCTCTGTAATCCACAGCCACGATGTGATAATCAAGAGCACTTATGACCTGCAGAGACGAGAGAGGTTTAGAAGTCACGATGAGAGTGAACTGGAAACTTGGTTTAAGTTTATTGACATTATTTATAAAGCGCTAAAATACAAATTGGATTTACGTAGCGTCAAAAATATTACCGCATCTCAAGATCCTGTAAAGAAACATTGGGAAAATGTATTTTGTAGAAAAGCAGTCGGTCATCGGCAGGAGACAATTGAGAATATTGAGGCTAGACATGAACAGGGGGCAGGGAGCCGACAACACAGATGGCTGGGGGAAGGGATTTCCAGACGGAGGGCAGCAGAAGAGAATGAGTGACCTCCTGCTGAGTGAAAGATTGACTGGTTGCTGGAGCTGAGAGAGTGTATGGAGGGGGGGGTAAGATGAGAGAGGAGAGGTAAGAAAGTGCGTGGAGTGGAGTAGAGTGAGATGAGAGGAGAGAGATAGGAGAGTGCGTGGAGGGGAGTCGAGTGAGCTGAGAGGGAAGAGGTAGGAGAGTGTGTGGAGGGGAGTGGAGTGAGATGAGAGGGGAGAGGTAGGAGAGTGTGTGGAGTAGAGTGAGATGAGAGGGGAGAGGTAGGAGAGTGCGTGGAGGGGAGTAGAGTGAGATGATAGGGGAGAGATAGGAGAGTGCGTGGAGGGGAGTCGAGTGAGTTGAGAGGGAAGAGGTAGGAGAGTGTGTGGAGGGGAGTGGAGTGAGATGAGAGGGAAGAGGTAGGAGAGTGCGTGGAGGGGAGTACAGTGAGATGAGAGGGAAAATGTAGGAGAATGTGTGGAGGGGAGTGGAGTGAGATGAGAGAGGAGAGGTAGGAGAGTGCGTGGAGGGGAGTAGAGTGAGATGAGAGGGGAGAGGTAGGAGAGTGTGTGGAGTAGCGCGAGATGAGAGGGGAGAGGTAGGAGAGTGTGTGGAGTAGCGTGAGATGAGAGGGGATAGGTATGAGAGTGTGTGGAGTAGCGTGAGATGAGAGGAGATAGGTAGGAGAATGCGTGGAGGGGAGTAAAGTGAGATGAGAGGGAAGAGGTAGGCAGGGATGATTGCATGGAAGGATATTGAAGATGATGGGTGCATTCTGCAAGATCATCCAGGACTGGAGTGCGGAGACAGTGGAGGAGATGGCAGTACCGGTGCGACGTGTTCTTGTTTACAAGTGTCTGCGAGAAGTCTGGCAGCGGTAATTATGAATCAACAAATTATGCAAAGTTTTCAAGGATCACAGCGGGCACAGATTAGCTGCCAACCGCTTTAGCACGCTACCTTGTAGAGTTCCACTCGGTACGCTCCAGCCCTAGGAGAGAAAGGACGACAGGCCGTGTCAACTGGGAGAGATCACAGGAAGGGGCAATCCAAAAAATAAACCGGTCTTGCCCCGTAAATATGTACGTAGCCTGTGTCCCAGGGTGTCTGACACGAGTTTGAAGCTTTGTTATTGAAGGAGATGAAAGGACTTGAAATCTTGACTTACAGCTTTCGTGACTGCGGGAATTCATATACTTTGGGTCTTTCGGTAAAGTCACGTAGATAGGTTCAAATTAATAGAAATAAAATAAGCAAAAACTGCGACGTTTCGGTCACAACACAAGCGATCGTCATCAGGAGGAAAATAAGAGAGAGAAAGCTGCTGAGACAGACAGAGAACCCTGTGGTTCTCAATAGTAAAATGTTAATAAATACATAGGTTTGATGACACAAGTACTTGTACTTACGTGCCCGTGTGCAATTTATGTTTTCGATGATTACCTTATAAAACAATCTGGCCATGTCTCGCACACTCCCGGGAAAGGGCATCTCGCACCCCCAAGGGGTGTAAGCACCCCAGGTTAAGAACCACTGGGCTAGAGGCAGGGCTACGTACTAGTGGTTGATACAATCAGTGTGATTAACCCGCAAATTGCTTGCACTTGCTCTCCAGTGCAGTGTTAACGAAGAAGTGGGGTTTCAGTTTGTTGGCGCACTCTTCACTGCTTGTGGATAAGAGTGCAAAGAGGCGATTCCGATCGCATGAGAGGTTCCAGTTCGCATGGTGTCTCACCGCGAAGCCGCATTGCCGTGCAGGTAGAGGATGATGGGGCGACCGGATCCCAGGCTGTCCTCGTACCAGCCTGAGCCCTTGCCCCGAGCCTGCTGCCCAAGGGAGGCGGGCACCGTGTGCCTGGTAGCGTCCAGTCAAAAGCCACACAAAAGACAAAGATCCCCCCGTGTAACCTTAACAGACTGTTGGGGCAAGCGCTGTTAGCGAGCACCTATGAAGGCCGACACGGCACACGAGGGGGTGGGCGGCCAGCACCATGCCCGGCAACCATTGTCTCTCCAGTAGTGATGTTTACACATCGCACCAGGTACTCATTTAAGGCTGAGTCTACCTAGGGGAGGCCCAGAACCGGTTCAAATAATCGTCACTGATGTTGGCCATTAGCGGGAGTCGAATTCAGGTCGCCGGGATCATAGCGCAACGCGCTAATCGTAACGCCACAACACACACACACATACGGCATAAGTTTTTTTTGGTTTGGGTTATATTGCGTAAATATAGATGCGTCGTTAAACTCGCCACCACCCGACACAGCCAATTAGTCAGGTTTGTCACGTGAACAAAACGTGCCAATTAGTTACTAGTTCAGCACACCGCTTGTGTGTAGGGAGAGGAGACCCACAATATTCACAATTCGAGCACGATGTTTCACCGGTAATTACAACCAGCATCATCAGGCGACAGCCAGAATTAACGACACATTTATATTTACACGATCTAACCCAAAAAAAACCTCGAATGTGGATAATATTGGTCGCGAAAGCCTGCGTGTTAAACACACACACGGCAGCTTGCCATCACGAGTAAATATGACTTGTATCAGGGTTCTTCAACTACATTTGCCGGTGGTATAATTGGCATGTGCTGCCAGGCTTTTTGATGCGATACGTCACGCGTACAAATGTTAGGATGTCACACGGCATCGTAACGTCTGCACGTGACTACCAATGCGTGCCTCTTGTCTCAAGATCTCTCATATCTCTCTCGTTTATCTCGCTTTCAACTCGGCAATCTCTTGCCTACAGCTCTCCCATCTCTATCCCTTGTCCATCTTTCTTTCATCTCACGAATCTGCTTCTCTTCACATATCTTCGAGAGCCATATCTCTTGGCGAGCCGTAGCTCAGTAGGCCTCCGTGGGATACATCTGGCCCTCAGGCTTGCCAGCTGTACAACCCTCACTTATAAAAAAAAAAAAAGACCAAGATCCTCTGTGTAGCCTTTACAGACTGCTGGTGCAAGTGCGGTAAGCTATTGCCTATTAATGCCTGCAAGGCACACTAGAGAGGGGAATGGCGTGGCCAAGCAACAAGCCTGAAGGCCTTCGTCTCACCAGCGCTGCTGCTGTTCATACACCATACCAAATACACTAATTCAAGGCTCAATCGACCAAAGTACATTTTTAAACACTTCACTTCGCTGCCCACCACGTAGCCCGATAGCAGTTTACATGGTTAATTCCCACGTGGGTGCGAGTAAAAACGAAATAGGGAAATAATAAAATAATAAAAATAAACATAATAAAATACAATTCTCATGACGTTTCGGCCACAACGCAAGCAGCCATCCTCAGGTGAAGAACAGGGCTGTCGGAAAGACAGCGTCATTCAGACGCTGTATTATTTCCCTTCTACATGACTTTACCGAAAAACCAAGAAGATGAATCCCTGCAGTCACGAAAGCTTTAAATCGAAATTTTTTAAGATTTTTTTTTATATTACCAGGTAAGGCCCGCTAAGCTATCTAGCTCTTTTTTAGAAGAGATCTGGTCACAAATTATAGCCCAATGAAGTGGCCTATCACGTGGAAAATTATAGCAGCCAAATACCATAAACGCACGTTTCTAAATGTGGAGGAAAAAACCGTAGGACCCAGAGAAAAATCCACATGACCGCGGAGAGAGAGACATGCAAACTCCAAATACACAGCAGGCGTCAGGATCAGGATCAAACCCACGACCTCCTGCATACTAGGCGAGGCAGTTAACATCTCGCCACCGCAGCGCCTTGTGTGTGCGAGCATCACGTACCAGACACCGAGGGTTACGCCACTCTCCGGGTGAAGGTAGAAATTGCGCGTGTGGTTGAGACCGAAGTGCGTTTCTGGATCGAGCAGTTGCTCCGTGGTTGGAACGCGCACTGAAAAATAAAACATACGCATGCACGGCGTAGCCCCCGGTTCAACAGAGACGCACATACGTGGGTGCACAGTAAGCATGTGACACATCGAATCGTCCACTAAAATCGATTCCGATTGTGAAGTTTTGTTGGTGAGTTCTGAAGGGCTACAGAAACTGGTAGAAAGCCTGAACAATTCTGAGCGACTTTGGAATGAGAATGACCGTTTGCACAGCACAGGTTTTGTATTACACATGGGTGCAGAGTAGGGGAAAAACAACATATCGAATAATCCACTAAAATCGATTCTTCAGGCTTGTGATAGGTGCATAAAATCGTGTACATGAGAATAATCTTAATATTTGGATCTACCACCCTTCAAACCCCCCAGATGCAAACTTTTGTAGTCTAGGTTTCAAAACAAACATGTATTTTTTAAATGTGCCCCCCAATTTTGGGAGGTCCAAAAGGTTAAGTATTTGGTTGTCAGATGTTCTTGTTTAACAATAAACTTGGCTAATATTTGGACCCGTATCGCCGATCTAGAACATCCTCAGAATTGGCATAATCAAGTCACAACTATTAGATAACTAAATGGAAAATGCACACATAAAGTGTGTTTCATAAATTTTACCCAAACATTCAGTTAATAATAATACTGACGACATAAAACTACCCAGTGCACTCCTAGTGTTGATGAAGAGATGAAGTGACATGGCCAGCATCATTTGCGGGGACTTCGAGATTTCTAAATTTAACTCGTTTCATCTCATGACATGCCTTTAAAAAGAACTTGTCTATTAATAAGGGTGGAAAAGCTACAATTATTCAAATATTCCCTTCGTGATTGTTTTCGAGAGAGTGCTGTTTTTGCCAGAGCATATTGCATGCATGTTTAACTTATTTTGCACCGTACGTAGCCAACCGTGCTACTCGGAGGAGTGGGGAAAGAACAAAACACAAAAATCAGTTTTAGAGTGCTCTACAAAAATATAAGCAATTTACATTACATCTCGTCTCAAACTTTTGAAATGGCACCCTCAGCGGCAGCTGTCCCCTGTGCAGCACAAGGTTACTCAGCGCATGCATGGCCTGCAAGCTGCGAAAGTGAAGGCAGTAAACCAAAGCACGCGCATGGATCAGAAGCGCCCGGCACGCACCGAAGTTATTGAAGACCAGTTTCATTGCAATTGCGGGGAACAGCTTGACGATGAACGGAACAAGGACGTAGAAGCCCAGGATAACCAGGACAAATCTGCGTGCATGTTTCATCACTCGAGTGTGCCTGTGAAGACATCATGGGGGGGGGGGGGGGGAGGGGTCCATTATTCTCAGCTTTGTACGCAACAGGAACTTGGACTATGAGAAAGGACATAAGAAGACTCGAAGGCTCTTGAGATGTGAGTCGTGGCACCGAATGAATGAAAATGTTTGTTTAGACTGGAGGAATCCGATGAGCTGTGAAGCTCTTTTTCACAAATGTCCAGGGCAAAAAGTTACAACTACAAACATTACAAAGAGTAGTCTGATGGCGAGACAGAGTGAGCAAGAAGTTCTAAAGGAGGCTTAGGAGGAGAGAAGTCTCATTGAAACAATTCAGAAACAGCAAAAAGAAGTGGAATGGACACTTTTTCAAAAGCCCGAAGGTCGATTAAGAAAGTTGTGAAAGCATGCAGGGGAGTCCAATAGGCAGAATACTTGACTGCTGCTTTACTTGAAGAACTGGAATAAAGTAGAAAACTCAAGTTTGGACAGTATGGAGGGGAGGTCTGACCCAATGACATTTGACAATAGACTAAAGAATACATTTGTCACTTCACGTATTGCCCATTGTTACACAGGCAAAAGGCGGTTGGACCTGCATACAACACGTGTTGGGTTTTCACAGCATTTGCTTATTCTGCAGATTGTATCGTAGCTGCTAGCTGCAAGTTTATATGAAACAAAGGTGGTGGTGGGGCAGTGGCATTGTGATTCGTGCTTTGTGCAATAAACCCCTCGTCCCGAGTTAAAATGTCGAGCCCAAAGCTCGCGTTGTCGGCCAATATCCGAATTCCGTTTAGGGCACTCCCCATTTCACCAACTCGCGTTGACCAACGCGGTGAAGTATGGTCAAAACGATCCCGATGATGACACGGGTGTGGTCGGGAGCCTTTCGTTTTGGCAGAGGTTATTGTGAACAAGTGGCCGTATAGCACGACGGTGAATCACGTAGACATCGACTAAAGATTCGTTTGTGCTGTTCATCAAACAATTACAAGATCTCAGTCTCACACCCCGGAATTTCAATTGGAGGCATGAGAAATTATTTAACGTAATAAAAAAAAACTATCCTCATTCTCTCTCTTAAATGGCATGTCTTAATGCGAGTACTGTAATGCATACACGTTACAAGTAGATTCTAATTAATCCACACAACGATTACCAGAATAGCCCTAGAGCCCTGATACGTTTCGAAACACTCCATCAAAATGATAATTCTGGAGAAAACAACGAATTACTTCAAAGCCTCTACCACCTCTGCCACGAATGCCAAGAGTTCTGCACACTTATCACCTCTGCACGCTTATCACCTCTGTAACTATTTAACACTTCTATGCAAGAGATAAGAGATCACTTTCACACGACGTTCAATCAGCTGCTCAGAAGCGATAGAGAGAGACACACACATTTTAAATCAACGAATGCCTTCCACCCTGCACTTAATCGAGCAAAATAAAGGAAAATTACGAAGCTAATTTTTAAAAATCAATACCAAATTATCTCAACGGGTTCTCCCCAAGGTTAATCTAAAGGCAAAAGACGCCACTCGCAATGTGCACTGCACGTCCCGTCGTGTTGACACGACAGTAAAACACGCTACGTTTGCCTTTCTTTACGCTAATGTTCGCTGGTTATGGCACAACAACAAAATAGCCGCGGTATACACAACAACATACGTTGAAGCTGCGCATCGATATGTATAAGTTAACAAGACTTGATAAATAAACACGCGACACACACACGCGGCACGCACCTCGTCACAACCGCGCCCGCTCAGAATGTCAAAACACCACAAATATAAACAATTCTCATACAACTCTCATACAGCTTCGACTGCAACACAAGCAATCATCATCAGGTGTGAAATCCACAGCAAGAAAATTTGCTGTGGATTTCACACCTGACGATGATTGCTTGTGTTGCAGTCGAAACGTCGTGATAATTTTTTATGGATTTTTATTATTTTATTATTTCCCTTCTACGTGACTTTACCGAAAGAACCAAGAATATGAATCCCTGCAGTCACGAAAGCTTTAAATGAAAATGTTTCTCATACAGCTGTTACACTTTAAACTCATTTGCATAATGGTGTGGCTATCGCCTGATGAAGCGGGTTGCAATTACTGGCGAAACGTCGAACTTTAGATCGTAAATGTTGTGGCTTTGCTCTCCAACACGCCGCTGTATCGGAGAGCAAATCCACAACATTTACAACCCGAGTACGACGTGTCGCCTGTGATTACAACCGAAACGTCGAACTTGGATTGAAAATGTTGCGGCTTTGCCCTCCAACACGCAACCGGTGTTGCCGTACTGGTAACGAATTACACGTTCTGTTCACGCGACAAACCTTACTAATCGGCTGTGTCGGGTGGTGGCGGGTTTATCGACACATGTATATATTCACGCGATGTACATTAAGGACGGAGAGGCAACAACAACAACAACATCCTCGACAACAACAACAAATGACAAAACAGCGGCAACCTTCCGCGTTCCTCAACTCTGTTCGCAAAGGCCGCAAACTCTCTCGCCTACTTGGGCCCCGCCGGTCGGTGTCAAATAAAATTAATAAAACACGCGCACACATCCACATCCCTCGTCGATCTTAAATACATTTTCCTTTTCTCAACAATTGCGCTTAAGAGGGGGGTCGCCGAGACTCACATTCGTTCTCGCCGCATCAGGAACTGAGGGCGCCGGGCGCGAGACGCTGACGGCGGGCGGAGCCTTCAGGCGAAGGCGGAGGCGTCGACGGCTGAACTAGGCCCGTCCCCATGGCAACCTCGAAATTAACATATTTTTTTAGCAAGGCGCAGCCCCTGCAACGATTTAAAAAATTACCAAGGCGCAGCCCCTGCAACGACTAAAACAATTACCAAGGCGCAGCCCCTGCAACGACTAAAAAAATGACCAAGGCGCAGACCCTGCAACGATTTAAAAAATTACCAAGGCGCAGACCCTGCAACGATTAAAAAAATGACCAAGGCGCAGCCCCTGCAACGATTTAAAAAATGACCAAGGCGCAGCCCCTGCAACGATTTAAAAAATTACCAAGGCGCAGCCCCTGCAACGATTTAAAAAATTACCAAGGCGCAGCCCCTGCAACGACTAAAACAATTACCAAGGCGCAGCCCCTGCAACGACTAAAAAAATGACCAAGGCGCAGACCCTGCAACGATTTAAAAAATTACCAAGGCGCAGACCCTGCAACGATTAAAAAAATTACCAAGGCGCAGCCCCTGCAACGATTTAAAAAATGACCAAGGCGCAGACCCTGCAACGATTTAAAAAATTACCAAGGCGCAGACCCTGCAACGATTTATAAAATTACCAAGGCGCAGACCCTGCAACGATTTAAAAAAATTACCAAGGCGCAGCCCCTGCAACGATTTAAAAAATTACCAAGGCGCAGACCCTGCAACGATTTATAAAATTACCAAGGCGCAGCCCCTGCAACGATTTATAAAATTACCAAGGCGCAGACCCTGCAACGATTTAATTTTTGTTACCAGTGGGTAAGGGCCCTCATCCACACACACACTCAGGTTTAATTCGTAGCAGGCTTTCGCGACCAATATTATTCATAATAAAGGTTTTTTTTGGGGTTCGATCGCGTAAGTATAATGTGTCCTAGATTTGAAGCTTTCGTGACTGCAAGGATTCATATTCTTAGGTTTTTTTCCGAAAAAACCTAAGAATATAAATGTGTCGTAACCCTCCACCACCCGACACAGCCAATTAGTAAGGGCTTTGTCACGTAAACAAGGCGCCGATTCGCGACTACTTCACCCCACCGCTGTGTATACTCCACACGGGTGCTGCTACCGTAGCTCTCTCTCTCTGTTTCTTCTTCTTGGCTGTCACACCCGTTGGCCCAAAATTAAAGTGGCTTACGATCGTGTGGACATTTATACATTTGCAGCAGCCAAAAAAATACCATAACGGCGTGATGTTGATTCTAAAATGTGTTTCACTATAAATCCTTTATATGCGTGGCGGCTAGAGTCCTCTCGTCCTCTGGCTTGAGATGGCTGCTACCTATGGGTTAGATGATTGCATTGCACCATTAAGCAATTGGTAATTAAATATAATATTTGTCCTAAAAAGTGTAAAATTTTGTAAAAAAAACTTTCACGAACATTGTCACGCACAACGAGTCTGTGTGTAAAATGTCAGCTCGATTGGATCACGGGAAGTGGGTTAAACGACGACCGAAAGATTTGCACGGTCCTAAGCAAGCAAGCGAACTTAATATAAAGGATTTTAAAAAAACCTCCCCACGCGTGTGCCACGTGCAGGCAACATGCGTGTGCCACGTGCAGGCAACATGCGTGTGCCACGTGCAGGCAACATGCATGTGCTTGGATTCATTGGGCAAAGCCACGAAACGACAAGCGGCCCCTGGTGGCTCCATCCGCCAGTGAGACGCGGCGCCCTCTGCGATGGCTTTGCGATGGAGCGCGTCGTCTTCGATTCCATGTGTGTTACGAAGTCTGCGGCCGTCCGCGCGTGTTGCCATCTCGAAATCGCGAGGCAGGAACCGCCGGGCAGGTTTGGAAGGCATCGGTGGCCAGGCAAGGTGAGCCGCCGCTGCCAACAAGTTGCCCAAGCTCTGCGACGCTCTCGATATAGTGAGCCGCTTTCAGCCAATGAATGAGCGACTATACTGCACGTGGGAGGAAAACCGCAGAGACCCCGCGTGTGTGAAGGGGGAAACGCTCTATCCCACACAGAAGGGGACAGATGATATGAATCCGCACGTTGATGTTACCCTCGGCATCTCCACACCGTGCTGGTTTGCATTGTCGGGCGCGTGATTCAGCCACACAAGACGTGGTCAAGAACGCGTGTTCGTAGTCCAACGTTTATTGAAGATCTTAACTTGCAGTTTATTTTATGTTCCGCCTAAACAACGGCAAACGATCGCTGCACGTAACACAATCCTCGTGTCTGCAAATACAGCCGCGCGCGGCTGGAACACAGGCAACATTGTTCGGTGATTAGTGAACAAAGACTGCAACGCAATATACGGGATTGCGTACGAAACTTGTTGACGCAATCTCGTGTATTGGTGTTGCGCAATTACTCTTATCCATGATAGCCCAGCAGCTGAAATATCGCAACTCTCGAATAATCCCACGTATGGAGCGGTGGTGTTGTGCTTTGCTCGCTTGCACTATGAACGCCGCGTCAACCCGAGGTGTTATGCCCGATCACGGCGAACATGGGTGGCGAGTGATACCTGAACCGATCCTGCCCCGGCTCCCGACAACTTCACAAAACCTGCATTGACCAGCGTGGCGAAGTATGACCACACACACCTCCCCCACCCTCCCTCCGAGAGCAGCGTTCTTCATTGCCACGTGCGCGTGCCTGGTGCTGCTGTCAAAACCTCCCGATGGGTTTCAAATCGCGTGGCGGTCCTCTCGCCTGTCGACGTCTTATCGGTGGACGTGCCACCCCCCACGCCCCCCGCTCTGATATAGTGAAGAACACTGCTATAGACGAAAACAGCATACGGACAGGCCTTCGTCTAGCAGTTTTATCATTTTTAACTGGATATGATCTGTAATTGAATCACATTAGAAGCTAGATGTATATTTCCCTTCAATCGATTTTTTTCTTCACAGAATTGTTTTTTTTGACCATTTTCATTATTTACAGCCCTTGATGAATAATCCACTGCTGGATGAAAGTCTCCTCCCCATGCCACGTTGGTTATAGAGGTGGTTTGACATACTTCATCATGCTGGTCTCCATCGGTTTGTTGGGGGGAGGGGAGGCCGGTTGAGATATCTTTCGACACTGACATTATCCATGGCTGGGTTATCAAACTCGCCATCGCTCCAACACAGTGAACTGTGGCCAAACAACCCCCATTATTACCAACATGGCAGGAGGAAGCCGTTATCTGGCTCAGGGTTGACAAAAGGGCGCTCACAATGTCTTTGTTTCTGGAAATCACGTTTTGATATTAAACTAGCAACCTGGATGTTCTTTAAACGTGACCGTCCGTCTCTCCCAGCCAGCCATCCAAACTATGAATATTAAAAAGTGCAGAGCCCTCTCTCCACCTTTCTCTTGCCTTCCCCCCTATTGTAACGTTCTGACCGGCTCCTACAAGACGTGTGAAAAAGAGCTTCATAGAGCTCATCGGATTCCTCCAGTATAAATAATATACGTCCCGATATCCCAATTTATCTCGATACTTCACTTTGCTTATTTCTAATCTATTCTTCTTGTCCCCTATTCTATCTCCAACACCCCCCCCCCTCGATCTTTCCCCTCTCTCATCTCACCCTCACTCTCCTTATTTATAGATTTGAAGCTTTCGTGACTGCAATGATTCATATTCTTAGGTTTTTTCGGTAGTCACGTAGGTAAAAACACTAAAAAGTAAAATAAAATAAAAATCACGACGTTTCGGAGGCAACACAAGCTTCCGTCTTCAGGTGGTACCGTCACAGCCACGACAGCTGTATACAGCTGTCGTGGCTGTATACAGCTGTCGTGGCTGTGACGGTACCACCTGAAGACGGAAGCTTGTGTTGCCTCCGAAACGTCGTGATTTTTATTTTTTAATGTTTTTACCTACGTGACTTTACCGAAAAAACCTAAGAATACTCTCCTTATTCTCACTTTCCCGTGACGTCAGCTCGCACGAGCACGGCTCAACGCTGTGGAATGCGGGTGACGCCACCACGCAGACGTGGCGCGTTGACGTCACCACCGCGCCAGCCAGCCAGGCAGGAACCCAGCCAGCGCATTTTGTTTTCTAATTTCGTATGGCATGATACATCACAATTCTAGTTCACTCGGCGATGTTTACGATCTACATTGCACACTCTGCTTAACCTTCTCTGTAGGTAGATCAGAATCCGACTATTTCTACTCGAGGAATCCGATTAGCTGCAATTTTTTCCCAGATGTCCAGAAAAAATAATTCGGGCCGGACCCAAATCACGATAAATACTGCCAACTATCCCAGCGTATTGAAAGAAAACGATCTTACCGCGCGGGATTGATCTAACGTCTCAGCTGCAGGGAAACGGGAGACTTCCAACGAAACCACCATCTCCCACTGACAAAACATTCCTTGCAAAAAAAATCGAATTCTTTGTGCGACACGCCACTTTCGAATCTCACCTACATGAGCACAGAAACAACACGGGGTGCACTGGATAACGTCTTGGCTGACCGAGAAAGACTGGAGATTGACTGCCATGAGAAATTTGACCTTTTCGATGCTCGTGTAACCGGCTCATCACGCCCGATGCTTTATGTATACGTCAATGTAGTGCGCAGTGACCAAACGACGCAAACAGAACACACCTTGAACATTAACCCAGGCTGTTTGTCCGTGGGCGAAGACACAAACTCAAATCTTTTGTGCACAAGGGAAGAAAAACGTTCACGTCACGATCCATCGCACGGAACAGAACTGGAGACAGATCTCTGTCACTCCCCCACAAGCTTCGGTCAATGACCAACCATATGGTGGACTGCTGTGACATCACCACAGCGATAAGGCGGCGTGCCCCGACCCTTGAATTGTAAGTTTTTATTTATTTAATCGAAGCTTCACATTGGATGAAGAAAAAGGTGACGAACGTGAAAGCAGGCCGAGAAAGGTGGTCGAAGCTGCGAGTTAGGATCAAGACCCGAATACGTTATAAGGTCACGCTCGTTACCCACAATGCGCTTGCCACAAATGAACCACGATAGCTTGCCAAGCTCGTCCAGGGGCACACACTATCACTCGCACTCCGGTCATCCTCGCATCGGCGGCTTTTGGCTGGTCGTCGAACAAGGACGGTCACCGACCGCATCTCGCGTGCTTTCAGATGCGCTTCTGCGGCCGTCTGGAACGCTCTTGCTTCCGATATTAGGAAACCACTGGAGCTGTGCACTTTGAAATCATCGAGATTGAAAACTCATACCTTAGGAACTACGTTTTGTGTTTGGTTTGTTGTCCTTTCCCCGCACCTCCGATTAGCACGGTTGGCTACGTGCAGTGCGAAACAAGTTCAGCATTCATAAATGAAGGATCGTTGAGTGGACTTAGAGATGGCAACCCGGGATAGGAATGAGTGGAGAAAGCAGAGCAAGGCAGGCAGACGACACAAGAGTGGTAGGAAATGCCAGGAAGAAGGCCTGACGAAGCTTCAGATTCACTACGGACATCCTGGAGAACCCAGGGGGGCCGTTGTGTACACCTTCAAGACGTTTGTTTTGATTGCGGTCGAGTCTCCGACCTCCCACCCCCTTCCCGAATGAAACGCGACAAGGTAGTGGTGACATGCACGTGAAATGACAACAGTTTATGCAGCCAGGTGGAGGGTTTTCCTTGCGAAATAAAAACGAACCGGGCACGTAAAATAAGCAGTAGAAACGTTTCCTCTGCTGTGGCGAAGGCGCTGTCATCGAGCGGCAAACACTGGCAGTGTTACGGAATGTCCAGTCATGCTTCACACCGGTATGAACAACTCCCCAGTGATATTTTGCGGGTGCAAGTGAACAGCCGGGTTTTGTCGCGCCTTGCATCCTACGCACGAGCGTTCCCTCGATTATGTTACACTCGTACAGGTGTGAGCAACACTTTACTGCGGTAATACTTACGCGATAAACGATCGCTGAAAACAAGACCTTCGTAATCTTACTCCGCGCACACCGATCCTTTCACGAATATCACCGTATATTTATACTGTCAAATAATATATAAATACAAACGCACGTTTAATAGGATACTTATGAGTTTTTCTGAGTTTGTAAAAAAATATTTTCCGGCTTAAGGGAGGGCGGGGGGGGGGGGGGGACACCGCGAGCGATCGTACCATCCTTGCGGCACGCGAACGTCCTCTAATGTACAAAAAAAAAACTGAAAACACCGAAACGTACGACTACTTGTATGTACAATCACGCTGGCAGTGCGCCCTTGGCAACGGCACTACCCCGGTAGGCAAGGGCATGTTGGCACTTGACGAGTTTCACAGCGCTCGCGTGCATGCGCGTGTGTGCGTGCGCGTGTGTGCGTGCGCGTGTGCGTGCGCGTGCGCGTGCATGCGCCTGTGCGTGTGCGTGCACCGTCAACAGCGGGGGTCCTCGATGGAGAGATAAAGACACCACATCACACATCACTGTGCCAACACAACCCTGACGACGCGACCACGCCCTCCCGCTCAATAACAGGGGAGCCTCCGATCTGCGAAGTACTGCGCGACACGCACTTTCGGCAAGACCAGGGGAGGCAAACGACCGACGTCCATGGCATTTCTATATATGTATCGGCGTAAAAAAAATCGACGCGTAACGAACGGACGGACGCCCACGGCCTATTCCCCGCACAGCTGCGTTTCCGCCGGCTGTGCTTCCAGGGACGCCTCCATCGTGAGCAGCGCCTGAACGGTCTCCAGCGGCAGCCGCTCCGTACATCCGTCCGGCCGGCCCGGCGCCACGGCAACGTCTGCCCCCTCGGGGCCGCGAGGGTACGACGCGGCGCACGGCGCGAGCTCCCCGGTTTCGCCGTCCCCACCCTCCCCCACCGTCGTCACGTCACCGGCGCCGTTCGGCACGGCGCCGCCGCTCGTGGGGCGCGCGCAGCCCGGGGCGACCGGCACGTCCGCGACGGCGCCGCCGACACCGCCGGCGCATTCGTCCATTGCTTTGTCCGGTGGTGCCACGTGCGACAAGGAGCCGCCGTTCGTCGGCAGAGCGTGGCTGGGTATTGCCGCCGGCCTCTCGCCGTCGTTGCCTTGAGGAGGCGGAGGAGGAGGAGGAGGGGGGGGAGGCCGACCGTCGGACGCGTCCGCCACCGCACTCATCCCGGCCGAGTCGCGAGACCGGGGCTCTTCCAGGTCTTCGTCGCCAAAGCTGGGCGCGTGAATGATGTGGGCCACTTCGTGCGTGTCGCTCCCCGCTAACCCGTCGCTCCCCGCCAAGCCGTTGTCCCCCCCGCCGTGAGCGTTTCCGCCCAGCAGCTTCTCGCCCTCAAGGTCACCCATCATCACCAAGTCGTCCTCACCGAAGCACGGGGCTTTGATGCGCCCAGGGCTGGGTTCTCCGTCGCCCGAACCTGTCCTGGAGACGATTTGCCGCGACAGGGTGGCGCCGCACGAGTCCACCGTGTCGGAATCGGCCGCTTCTCTTTCCTCCGGCAGCTGGTAGAACACGGAGCTCTGCTCTCCATGCTGCTGTTGATCCTGCTGCTGCTGCTCCTGCTGAGTGTCCTGCAAGCCGGTCAGCTGTTCCGAGTTGGAATCTGTGGAGATCTGGTAATACACCGAGTGGAGCGTGTCGTGCTGCTGAACCACGTTGGGTGACGAAACAGTGCTGGCCATGAGCTGCTGCAGGGCGCCGTCGTCTGCTGGCGCCATCTGCTGGTCAGCTGCATCACCGGACGCTGTCGAAACAAACAGACATACAAACATCGCCCCTTTAGTCTTGGGGCAAGTGCTGTCAGCAAGCGCCTATGAAGGCCAGCACAGTGCACAAGGTGTTGGGTGGCCAGCACCATGTTCCGACCGCCTTTGTCTCCCTAGTCGCGATGTTTACTCCACACCGCACCAGGTACTCATTTGAAGCTGAATTGACCTACGGGAGACCCAGGACTGGTTCAGATAATCATCACTGGTGTTGGCCATGAGCAGGAACCGCATTTGGGTCGCCAGATGCATAGTACAGCAGACTTAACTGCTACACTACTGCTTCCCACATACAGACAAATATCACCCATTTAGCCTTAATGGACTGTAGGGGCAAGTGCTGTTAATGAGCACCTATGAAGGCCAACACAGCACAAAGAGAAAGATCCCCCGTATGCTCGCAATCCAAGGTTTTACTGTATATCAACCTAGATGACAAAATATCACTTTTCTCAGCAAAACTAAGGAACAGCAGTGATCATGAGACAAGAGAAGTTTGGGGCGCTGGTGGACATTGCTCTAACAACTTGCTGGTAGGCCCCTGCTGTAGCTATTACTTCGCCATGTTTGCCGAGTAAGTGCATTTATAAACGCGCAACTCTTACAACCAAGGTTATCACGAGCGCGCAGAACACCTGGTACACGAGTCTACCTAGCAGAGGTTGCAAACGGGTTTTGATTCCGTACCCGGCCGCACCAGAGTCGCAAACGGGTACCCGTACCCGGCTGGGTACGGGTAGCCGGGTATCGGGTAGGGTACGGGTATCGGGTACCCGATTGCGACCTCTGCTACCTAGCCCAGGGGTCAGCAACCAAAATAACAAGAGCCTTTGTCTTCGAATTCGGTAAAAATATCAATATTTCACGTGGTGAGTACGAGATGGCGGTCTCCTTAATAAACAACGTCACGAAGCAGCCCTGAAAGAGCCGCACGCGGCTGCGGAGCTGCAGGTTGCAGACCTCTGACCTAACCTATGAAATCAACAGAACATCTTGCGTGCGTGCGTGTGCACATGCCAAGCACGTTAAGACCACGTGAAGTGTCGAACGCCTGCTGGCAGGAGGTCACGGGGCAGACCCAGGTGCCATGGGTCGACTGACTGAGATGACTGGCCGATGCTCCACCTGTGCCCCCTACTGTGCAAACTTCACGTGGTCTTAACGTGCACATGGCCTGGTACAAGCGCCGTGGTGACGTCACAGCCACTTAGTGGCGAATAGCGGTTGTTGCCGTTGCTGCGCGTGCCAAGGCCTTACCATCTCCCGGCACGGACAGTACTTCGTCTCCTATCTCATCTTCAACGCGAGGTCTCTTTCCATTCGGTTCGCCCTCTGCCTCGTCCTACAACACCACCACCACAGAGAGCACACCGACCTCTGAGTTCAACTCCCTGGAAGTTTAGGAGCCGGCCTGCGAGGCTCAGGGTTCAGAGCGTTGAGCCGGCACAGCTGAGATCCTGGGTTCCAGCCCGCTGCTAGTGATGAAACCAGGTTGTCCCCCCAGGTACGCATGTACCTGCCCAGTCACCGATGATGACGAGACATAAAACCCATCATGTACTTCAACACGACGGTCAGCCCTGGTTAGTCAAGGCAGTGAGGGACCAGGACCGGTTCAGATATCACTGATAGCACTGATAGCACTGATAGCACTGAACCTACCAGCTGCTGGGTTCGTAGCACAATGCTCTAGATGTTGCGCCACCGTTCCCCACCGTCCCCCCCACCCCAATTAGAACACAGTTCGGAAAAAATAAATACGTTTAGTTTGTGTGCCTAAGTGTACGTGCGTGTGTTTGTGTGCGTGTGTTTGTGTGCGTGCGTTTGTGTGCGTGCGTTTGCGTGCGTTTGCGTGCGTGCGTTTGCGTGCGTGCGTTTGCGTGCGTGCGTTTGCGTGCGTGCAGGTGACCTGGGAGTGACGCTTGAGGGTCGAGGTCAGGTCGATGCGCGCGGGGTCAACCAGCACGAACTCGTAGCGGAGCGTCGAGGAGTCGAGCGGTGGGCCCACTGCGGAGTTCTCGTCGAGTCCGAGTAACTCTGGGCCCAACCCCAGCGATTGGGCCACCTACAAAGACAAAGGTGCCCCCACATGCAGAGCCTCAACAGACTTTTGGGGAAAGTGCTGTTAACGAGTAGCACCTACGAAGGCCGGCACGGCACACGGAGGGGGTGGGTGGCCAGCACCACGCCCGGCCGATCCTGGCCTCCCGAGTGGCGATGCTTACACAACACACCAGGTACTCATCTTAGGCCGAGTAAACCGCTCAGAAACCGCGTTATAACGATGCACGTTCCACGTTGTAACGGCGTACGTTGGAACTTCCACGTCATAGCGAAAAACGCTTTGTGGCGTGAACACCGCGCGTTAAGCGAGGACTCACGGTACGACGACACGAATGGTCGTGCAATTGTCAGCGTTCGCGTTCAGCTAAAACGAACTCCGTCACCCGCAAGTGGCCGTGGGTGATGGCGGCGCGTACCTGCGTGTTATTGATCTGCAGCGGCGGCTGCGGTGGCTGGCACGGCGGGCTGCTGAAGTGCTCCTCTGCCATTGTCTTCACGTGCCGGTGCAGGGTCTCGAACTCGCGGTAGACGTCCGGGAGGCACGGTCGCTCCGACCGGCCCTTCTCCACCTGCGGCAAAACAAGAGGGGCTCGCGCCAACGGCCTTCGACATCGCAACACGTGCCCTGCCTTCTGTTCGGCAAGCTCTGCCCAGCTCAGTGTTTATTTTTGTTGGTGTTGTTTCTCGTGTCACGGTGGCGAGGAGATGTTAACTACCTCGCCTGGTACACAGGAGGTCGTGGGTTCGATCCCAACGCCTGCTGTATATTTGGAGCTTGTGTGTCTCTCTCTCTCATCATCATCACGGTGGCGAGGAGATGTTAACTACCTTGCCTGGTACACAGGAGGTCGTGGGTTCGATCCCAATGCCTGCTGTATATTTGGAGTTTGTGTGTCTCTCTCTCTCTCTCATCATCACGGTGGCGAGGAGATGTTAATTACCTCGCCTGGTACACAGGAGGTCGTGGGTTCGATCTCAACGCCTGCTGTATATTTGGAGTTTGTGTGTCTCTCTCTCTCATCATCATCACGGTGGCGAGATGTTAACTACCACGTCTGGTACACAGGAGGTCGTGGGTTCGATCCCAACACCTGCTGTATGTTCTCTCTCCCCGTGGTCACGTGGGTTTTTTTTCCAGGTTCTCCGGTGTTTCCCTCAACATTTAGAAACAACGTGCGTTTAAAGCATTTGGCTGCTATACATTTCCACGTGATAAACCACTTTATTGAGCTATCATATATGGCTAGGTTGCTTCTGAAAAAGAGCTAAATAGCTCAGTGGGCCTTACCTGATAACATAAGATAAAAGTTTTAGTTTATTATTTGTTCTGTATGCTATCGATGTAGCATCTCTTATAAGGTGGTCTCTGTGGGTATTTCTTGCCAAGTAGCCTACGGCTCAATGTTACTCGTCCACATCAGCATTTCAAATTCAACTGAGGAACACGCCAGGTTTTCGCAGCCAATATAACGGGTGCGTAATTCACTTTTGGTTTCAGCCATAGAAAAGGTGTGGCCCAGTGTTTGCCGTAACACCCTCCCCGCCACCACCGCCAGCGCCACCGCCGTCACCACCACCGCGTGCCAGCGATCGACACGCCAGTTATTATTATTACCATTCTGGCTCGCGTACCGTCGGGTGACGAGTCGAAAAACAAATCGCATGCGAAATATTTAGCGATGTTTCGCTTGATAAATCACGGGAAGCAGGGTCAGGACACGATCCACGGAGTCGGAATAAAATCCAGGAAGTCATGTTTTAATCAGTATTTTTGTTTGTTTGTTTTTAAACCACAGTTGCTGAGCACAGGCTCAAAATGCGCAAAACATCACGCGGCCAGCAGCAACACGTGCCGATTTCGTATTGTGCACCCTCAGGCAAATTAATGAAGCTGTCATGCAAATAAATGCGGCCAGTTTATTATGACTGCTTCAGCAACGCCGGTAACGCCGGGAGAGCAATCCACAAAATTTTACTATTTGGAACTGGACTGCTGTCCAACACACCGGTGGTGCTGAAGCAGTAATAAAGTATTGTCACCTTGGTTCACGTGACAATACATCTGGCTGCGTCGGGGTGTAGGAGAGTGTATGACGCACACGTCGGGATAGCACTCGTCGTGCGTGGAAAACATGTGGGCTTTCATGACCAATATATCAGCCATAATGGGTTTTTTTGGGTTAGATTGTTAAACCTGCCACCTCCCAATTAGTTTTGGTTTGTCACGTAAACAAAACGTGGCCAATTAGTTACTCATTCAGCACACCGATGTATTGGAAAGTAACCCCTTCAACACTTAGAATTTGAGTACTCGCATGGCAAAGTAACCCGAACAATAAAAAACTAAAATCAACTCTAAATGAGATTTCCCATATCTCGGAGGGTCACGGACCTTCTTAAGCAGGAATTGCCAGAGCGTAAGGATGCGGGTGAGACGTGGCAGCACCAGCTCCAAGAGTTCCTCGTCATCGCACCCCTTCAGCAGCTGCTTTGCCAAGAAGACACACAACAAAGAGACAAAGACCCCCCGTATAGCCTTAACAGACTGTTGGGGCAAGTGCTGTTAGTGAGCACCTATGAAGGCCGGCACGGCACACGAGGGGGTGGGTGGACAACACCATGCACGGCCGCCTTAGTCTCCCTAGTGGCGATGTTTACACATCGCACCAGGTACTCATTTGAGGCTGAGTAGACCTAGGGGAGGCCCGGGACCGGTTCAGATAATCGTCACTGGTGTTGGCTGTGAGCGGGAATCGAACCCGGGTTGCCAGGTTCATAGCGCAGCACGCCAACCGCTACACTACCGCTCCCCACACACGCGCACACGCACACACGCAATACAGTGGTGAGATGGGCACCGCAAAGTGGAGAGATGTTATCTACCGGTATACAGGAGGTAGTTCACTTCATTTTTTGCCTTTAGTTTGTCCTTCCCCTGCACCTGCGATTACCATGGTTAGCTACGTACGGTGCACAAGAAGTTTAACATACATAAAGGTCATGGGTTCAAACCCGAACCTGACGCCTGCATATTTTGAATTTCATATTTCTCTTCCCGTGATCGTGTGGATTTTTCTCCGGGTCCTCTGGTTTCCCCCCACCCCTCACATTTATAATCAACGTGAGTTTGTGGAGCATTGGCTACTATAAATTTCCACGTGATAAGCCACTTCACTGAGCTATCATTTGTGGCCAGGTCACCTCTGAAAACGAGCGATATAGCTCAGTGGGCCTTACCTGGTAAAATAAACTGTTTGGTTTTAGTTTATACAATACAATAGGGATTTACACAGGGTCCGTGTGTGACCACATCTCAAGTGGCTGTACAAAGGCAGTGGGCACAACTATTTTACAGACAGGCAGTCAGTCATAGGCCTTCATGCGAGTCTCTGCGTGAGTCTGTGGGTCTCCGTGAGAGTCTATGGGTCTCTGTGTGAGTCTATGGGTCTCTGTGTGAGTCTATGGGTCTCTGTGAGTCTATGGTACTCCGTGTGAGTCTATGGGTCTCTGTGAGTCTATGGGTCTCCGTGTGAGTCTATGGGTCTCCGTGTGAGTCTATGGGTCTCTGTGTGAGTCTATGGGTCTCTGTGAGTCTATGGTACTCCGTGTGAGTCTATGGGTCTCTATGCGAGTCTATGGGTCTCTGTCAGTTTGCAGTATAGGCATCTAATGTGCATCTACGTCAGTATGTGGGTCTCTATGCTAATCTACGGGCCTCTATGCGGGTCATGAATATATTGTATCAGTTTATACAATACAATGACAATGTGGATTATACAGTGCATAAATGCAACTGCATTTAAAGACACTGTACAGAAACAGTAAGCATATTTATTGAATAGAGAAGCAGTTAGTCATCGGTCTCTATGTGAATCTATGGATCTCTATGTAAGTCTATGGATCCCTATGCAAGTTTATGAGTCTCTATGTGAATCTATGGATCACTATGTGATTCTATGTGAATCTATGGACGTCCCTCCAAGTCTATGGATCCCTATGTGATTCTACGGGACTATGGATATCCGTGTGAGCCTACGGGTCTCCGTGTCAGTCGCCTATACAATACGATGCAACGCGTATTCACAGAGCAGTGTAAATGGGGCCGCGTCACCTCGACGCGCGAGCACGTCACACCTCTCTAAGCTGCGTCTTCTTCTTCTGCAGCTGCTGCTCCTGAACGGAAGGCCCGCCCGGGTTCTTGGGAGGCCTTCCAGGGCGACGGGCGGAGGGCACGGGGGCCACGGCTCCGACAGGCGACGGCTCCTAAACGGAGGGAGGCGCGCACGCGTCACGTTGGTCGCAGAGGGACGAGAGGGTGGTCAGCTTTGACGATCGCGGGGTGCTGGGTGGAGGGTGAACAAATCCTGGTGAACTGTTAAAAATGTTTTCAGGCAAGGACCATCTCTTGTTATATTTGGGTCCATATAATACACAAGCACGGTTGCTACATACGGTGCGAAAGAGGTTCAACTTACATCATTGTGGGATTTTTTTTGGTTTACTTACCTTCTCCACAACTGCACTCGTACTTATTTTGCATTTCATGCCTAAGGTCCACACAATCCTCAAAAACAAAAGGCCACTAAGCATGTGCCACCACTCATACCTGCTGCTGCTGTTGCTGCTGCAGCTCAGAAACAGACGGCTGCTCCGCTTGCACAAAGTCAGACGCGACGATGAATTCCGGCTCCGTCAAACTTCCTGCATTGGCCACACTCGCCGGACCCTTGTCCGCCAGTACCTCCACCGGCGCAGACAGTGACGCGGCCTCCCCCATCATCTCACCACCATCACCACTGCCACTGCCACCACCACCGTCCCCATCATCACCACCACCACCCCCGTGTTCATCACAAGCCGTGGCGGCAACGGCATTGTCCTGCTCGTCTGCCAGCGGCTCCAATCGTCCGTGCGTCGGGTTCAGCCGGTAGTGGCGCGCCAGCCCGCCGCGCCCGATGTACGACTTGTCGCAGTTCTGGCAGAGGAAGTTCTTGGGCTTCACGGTGAAGGTGAGCGGCCCGTGGAGTCGCTCCTCCTGGGTCTCACCCACCTTGGCCTTGCGCTCCTCCTCGCCGCCACCCTCCTCCACGCTGTAATCCGAGTAGTCATCCGAGTCCGACTGGTGCCCGTCGGCGAGGTCCTCCATCCTGATGAACTTGTAGTCCTTGATCTTGTGCAGCGGCGGGCGCGAGATGCGACCGGAACGCGTCTTGATCTTCGCCAGCCTCTTCAAGTGCTTGTTGCCGGCCGACCTGCGAACGTTCCCGGGTCGTCCCGTCACTACCGCTGCCTGCTGCTGCTGCTGTAGCTGCTGCTGCGCCGTTTCACCGGTCAGCACGACCCTCTGCCCGTTGGTAAGACCAATGCCCGGCACCAGCCGGATGGTGGACACGGGCCCGAGCGGAGGAGGCTGGCGCTGAGATAGGATGCGGATCGCGCTGGTGCCTGTGCCTGTGGTGCACAGGATGAACTGCTGAGGTTGGTCCTGCCCCACAGCCTGGATGTGAAAGATCTGAGCGGCGGTGCTGGCAATGGGAGCCATGGTGGTGGTGGTGGCGGTGGCAACGGTGGTGCCGCCGGACTGGCTCGACACTCGCGGTTGAACGAGCGCCAGCGGTGGCATCGTCCGCTCCTTGTCCTGTGGGACACACAGATCACAACGCCGATTGGCAACGTCGTCATCATCAGCCACGATCAGCCACGATCTCATCAAGGAGCATAAACCATCTACGTCACGGTGGCAGCAGCGGCGGCTCTTGGCAGGCCATCGAACAAAGACTGTCACCGCATCGCGTGCTTCTGCGGCCACTTGGAATGCTCTTCCTTCCAACATTAGGAAGCCACATGAGCTATGCACCTTTAAATGTAGATTGCAAATTAATTTAATTAGAACTGCTTTTTGTGTTTAGTTTGTTGTCCTTCCCCAAACCTCCGATTAGCACGGTTGGCTACATACGGTGCGAAAGAAGTGTCAACATACATACGTCACGGATAGGAGACAATTCTAGGCCAGAGGAGAAAATGTACATGGGTGGGCAATCATCAACAGCATTAATGAGGGAAGGGAGTATGTACTTCTTGGAAGGCAGCAGAGGAAAATGAGCTATGATGGCAATCATTGATGATGATAACGATTGTTTAACACAGCCCAAGCGCACCTCTGCAATCACACAACAGATGTCAAAGAGCTCTCCCACGTTTTCACGGGCACACTTGGGCCTCAACACAGCACACGAAACCCCAACGGTCCCCACAGTGACCAGGGAGGGCCTGTCCACATACAGCTTTCACGAAGCACGTGGCGGCTGGTGACATGTCCACTAGGTGGGGCTGTTGTGAGTGACCTCTGATGAAAAATATTGGTGTTCGAATTAAAAAAAATCTCGGTATGTTATTGGCCTTCCCGTGAAAGTGATACGGCTGTATTTTCTACCAACGGTAGGCATTTATAAACAATGCGAAGCTAAACAACAAAGTACTCAAATGCTGTCTCCATGACCCTCAAGTCCACACTACATCCCCTTTGACACTGCCAAAAGCTGCTATATTTGCACAACATCGCGATGTGACATCGTCTAATTACAGCCACGGGTGCATTGTTCACCACCCTGAATGGGTCTCAAACGGCGTGGCTTCTTCAAACTCGGACGCCTTCACAGCCGTCCCGAAACCTCCCCGAGGCACAGATCAAGACTGTGGCGTTGCAGACGTTTCTAATACGAACTTAAAATGTTATCTTCACGTTGAAAGAATCATTCTACTTTTAAAAAAATGTTTTAAACGCAACAAAACTATTTAAAGAAAAGTTTGTTTTTTCTAGAAAAATAAATCTCCAGCTGCCCCCCCCCCTAGTGGACGAAGCGCGCATGGGGGGCAGTCGGGCACTGGTGGCTACACCGCACTGATGATTCCTGAAATCGACGAAACCTGTTAGACGTTCATTGCTGATGCCGTCTTAAAATAATTCCGCAACAATTTGAGCTCCAATTGTTACCCTGCCTGCATGCACTTTTGTGACTGATGATTATATTTGTCATAATTTTTTAAAGTTATAATTGAATTTCGATTTAAAACTTCCGTGACTGCAGGGATTCATCTTCTTGGTTCTTTCGGTAAAGTCACGTAGCAGGGAAATAATATTGTATTTTTATTATTTTCCTTCAACGTGACTTTACCGAAAGAACCAAGAATATAAGTTATACTGTAATTGGTTTTTGTCAAATATTTTTTAACAGTAGCATCCACCGGCCGTGAATAAAAATCACAAACACGAAAATACAAAGACACACAAACACAACCAACACAAAACACAATACCACAGAATGACACAGACAACACAAACACACATACAAAGACAACAAATATCCCCCCTACAGTTTTAACAGACTGTTGGGGCAAGTGCTGTTAGCGAGCACCTATGAAGGCCGGCACGGCACACGAGGGGGTGGGTGGTCAGTACCACGCCCGGCCGCCTTTGTCTCCCTATTGTCTCCCTAGTGGCAATGTTTACACATCGCATCAGGTACTCATTTGAAGTTGTCAACCGGAGACCCAGGACCAGTTCAGAACACGCACACATACGAACAGACACACACAGACAAAAACACATACATTCGAACACACCAACAAACACAATATTGGCTCACACACAAACAACAACTTACAAACATACAGACGCAAACACGGACAGCACCAGTGAGGAGGCTATGGTAGCCACGTGCAATCCTCCTTGGATCAGCCGGGCAATGCGAACCTCATGCTCCTGTTGCTGCTGCTGCTGTTGTTGCAGCTCCTGTTGCTGCTGCTGCTGTTGTTGCTGCTGTTGCAGCTCCTGTTGCTGCTGCTGTTGTTGCTGCTGTTGTTGCTGCTGTTGTTGCAGCTGTTGTTGCTGTTGCTGCTGTTGCTGCTGCTGCTGCTGTTTCTGCTGCTGTTGTTGTTGTTGCTGCTGTTGCAGTTGTTGTTGCTGTTGTTGCTGCTGTTGTTGTTGCTGCTGTAGTTGTTGTTGCTGCATCAGCACCTGCGCCACGCCTTGCAGTTGCTGAGAAGCACTCTGAACAACCACCTGCTGTTGTTGTTGCAACTGCAGTTGCTGCTGCAGCTGCTGTTGTTGCTGCTGTTGTTGCTGCTGCTGCAGTTGCTGCAGCTGCGACAAGGGCAACTGCAAGATCTGGGCGCTCCTCGTGCCATCAGTGGCCATGTGATGGTGGGTCTTGGTAACGTGGGCGATGACCCGTTGGAGTTCGTCTGGCCCAAGTCCAATGTGAATCTGCTGCTGCTGTTGTTGCTGGTACTGCTGCTGAACTTGTTGATGGTCTAAGTGTTGCTGTTGTTGGTGAACTTCATGCTCCTGCTGCTGTTGTTGGTGAACTTCATGCTCCTGCTGCTGTTGATGCTGAACTTCATGCTCCTGCTGCTGTTGATGCTGCTCGTGTTCATCTTGTCCTTGCTGCTGATCATACTCCTCCTCCACCACCTGCTGCTCTTCATCTTGCTGCTGCTGCTGCTGCTGCTCCTGATGCTGCGTTACCTCCTCGTACACGTGCGTTTCAACATCACCATGGCCACCATCACCACCATCATCACCATCGCCGCCGCCGCCGCCCATCATCTCCATGAAACCCTGCTGCCTGCCCAGTTGCTCCGCCATCTCTTGGGTCAACCCCTCGCCCTGGAGGTAAGAGCCGTCCTCCGCTTGCACGAAGATGATCGTGCCTTCCATGGTGGACATTTGCACGGCGTGGACATCACCATCACCACCATCACCACCACCATCATCATCACCACCACCACCATCATCATCATCACCACCATCACCACCACCACCATCACCACCACCATCATCACCACCACCAGCACCACCACCACCATCATCATCACCACCACCACCGCCGCCTTCGTCTTCATCACCAGCAACCTCGCTCGCCTCCATGCCCGACCCTTCGGTCACCTCCGTGTCCACGTAGCAGAGGCCACGACCGTCCAGAAAGAGGTCGCCGCCTCCGCTGGTCGCCGCGGCATCGCAGCCCAGTTGGAGTCCCACCCCAGGCAGATGCACCTCCTCCTCCATCTCCTCAACCTCCTCCACCTCCTTCACCACCACCACAACCATCTCCTCCTCCTCCTCCTGCCGTAGGCCCGTGTCTCCTACCATCGCCGCCACGTGCGCAGGCGGCTCCTGCGTTGACGACGAGGTGGTTGAGCATGTGGGGAGGTGAGCGAGAGGTTGTTGTTGTTGCTGCTGCTGCGCTGGTTGTTGTTGTTGTTGTGGTTGTGTTGTTGTTGTTGTTTGCGGTCGAGGCTCGGTACCACATCTCTCGCTGTCGGCCATGTTGGTTGCGAGGGCCTCGCCAGTCGGGTGATGTCACCAGACGGAGGTTTTACCTCCAGATTCGGAAGGATCGGAGGCGGTTGAGAGAGCAGAGGTTTCTTTACCCTCCAGATGCGGAGGGATGTTGGTCTGCGTGTGTGTGTTAGTCTGTGTGTATGTTGGTCTGTGTGTGTGTTGGTCTGTGTGTGTGTTAGTCTGTGTGTGTGTTAGTCTGTGTGTGTGTTAGTCTGTGTGTGTGTTGGTCTGTGTGTGTGTTAGTCTGTGTGTGTGTTTGTCTGTGTGTGTGTTTGTCTGTGTGTGTGTTAGTCTGTGTGTGTGTTGGTCTGTGTGTGTGTTAGTCTGTGTGTGTGTTTGTCTGTGTGTGTGTTAGTCTGTGTGTGTGTTGGTCTGTGTGTGTGTTAGTCTGTGTGTGTGTTAGTCTGTGTGAGTGTTAGTCTGTGTGTGTGTTGGTCTGTGTGTGTGTTAGTCTGTGTGTGTGTTAGTCTGTGTGTGTGTCGGTCTTTTTGAGTGTTAGTCTGTGTGTGTGTCGGTCTGTGTGTGTGTTGGTCTGTGTGTGTGTTAGTCTGTGTGTATGTTGATCTGTGTGTGTGTCGGTCTGTGTGTATGTTGGTCTGTGTGTGTGTTGGTCTGTGTGTGTGTTAGTCTGTGTGTGTGTTGGTCTGTGTGTGTGTTGGTCTGTGTGTGTGTTAGTCTGTGTGTATGTTGGTCTGTGTGTGTGTTGGTCTGTGTGTGTGTTGGTCTGTGTGTATGTTGGTCTGTGTGAGTGTTAGTCTGTGTGTGTGTCGGTCTGTGTGTGTGTTAGTCTGTGTTGGTCTGTGTGTGTGTTGGTCTGTGTGTGTGTTAGTCTGTGTGTATGTTGGTCTGTGTGTGTGTTGGTCTGTGTGTGTGTTGGTCTGTGTGTATGTTGGTCTGTGTGTGTGTCGGTCTGTATCTGTTGTGGAGTGACTCAGAGTTTGGTAGTACATGTTGTTTACGTCGTTTATTGTGAAAATTCGGTCACAGTTCCTATGACCACTGTTTCATTGCTTTTATGGCTTTATTTTGGTGATTTTCGAAAAGTTTTTTGGTTTGGCCATGTTTGTTTGTTGTAGTACAGAGTTAGACTGATGGCCTTAATCTAAGTTGTCTTGTGGTCTGTGTGTGTGTTGGTCTGTGTGTGTGTTGGTCTGTGTGTGTGTTGGTCTGTGTGTGTGTTGATCTGTGTGTATGTTGAACTTCTTTAGCACCGCACGTAGCCAACCGTGCTAATCGGAGGTGCGGGGGAAGGACAATAAACTATGGGTCTCTGTATGAGTCTATGGGTCTCTGTGTGAGTCTATGGGTCTCTGTATGAGTCTATGGGTCTCTGTGTGAGTCTATGGGTCTCTGTATGAGTCTATGGGTCTCTGTGTGAATCTATGGGTCTCTGTGTGAGTCTATGGGTCTCTGTATGAGTCTATGGGTCTCTGTGTGAGTCTATGGGTCTCTGTATGAGTCTATGGGTCTCTGTGTGAATCTATGGGTCTCTGTGTGAGTCTATGGGTCTCCGTGTGAGTCTATGGGTCTTCATGTGAGTCTATGGGTCTCTGTGTGAGTCTATGGGTCTCTGTGTGAATCTATGGGTCTCTATGTGAGTCTATGGGTATCTGTGTGAGTTTATGGATCTCCGTGTGAGTCTATGGGTCTCTGTAAATCTATGGGTTTCCGTGTGAGTCTGTGGGTCTCTGTGTGATGCTGTGGGTCTTCGTGTGAGTCTATGGGTCTCTGTGTGAGTCTATGGGTCTCTGTGTTAGTCTATGGGTCTCTGTGTGAATCTATGGGTCTCTGTGTGAGTCTGTGGGTCTCTGTGTGAGTCTGTGGGTCTCCGTGTGAGTCTATGGGTCCCTGTGTGAGTCTATGGGTCTTTGTGTGAGTCTATGGGTCTCTGTGTTAGTCTATGGGTCTCTGTGTGAATCTATGGGTCTCTGTGTGAGTCTGTGGGTCTCTGTGTGAGTCTGTGGGTCTCCGTGTGAGTCTATGGGTCCCTGTGTGAGTCTATGGGTCTTTGTGTGAGTCTATGGGTCTCTGTGTTAGTCTATGGGTCTCTGTGTGAATCTATGGGTCTCTGTGTGAGTCTGTGGGTCTCTGTGTGAGTCTGTGGGTCTCCGTGTGAGTCTATGGGTCCCTGTGTGAGTCTATGGGTCTTTGTGTGAGTCTGTGGGTCTCTGTGTGAGTTTATGGATCTCCGTGTGAGTCTATGGGTCTCTGTGTGAATCTATGGGTCTCTATGTGAGTCTATGGGTCTCTGTGTGAGTTTATGGATCTCCGTGTGAGTCTATGGGTCTCTGTGAATCTATGGGTTTCTGTGTGAGTCTGTGGGTCTCTGTGTGATGCTGTGGGTCTCTGTGTTAGTCTATGGGTCTCTGAGTGAGTCTGTGGGTCTCCGTGTGAGTCTATGGGTCTCTGTGTGAGTCTATGGGTCTCTGTGTGAGTCTATGGGTCTCTGTGTGAGTCTATGGGTCTCTGTGTGAGTCTATGGGTCTCTGTGTGAGTCTATGGGTCCCTGTGTGAGTCTATGGGTCTCCCAACATCCACTCACAAACGTTAAGTGACCGCTTCACTAGGGGGCGGTGGTAGACAACGAAACGACTCCAAATTTGTATTAAGTTTTCACACACAGAGGAGTACAAAATTCACCATTGCGGTCTCATTATTATTAAGAGCTGGGATGTAATCTGATGATTTAAGTAATAATCGATTACTCTCGCGATAATCAAGTCGATTACTCGACTAATTAGATAACAGCAAAATCACGCAGTTTTAGAGAGGTCTGCCCTCTGTTCGCACGTGTGTGCTGATTGACGGGAGGTGATGATCGGGATTGGTAGCGTCATCGGTTGTCTTTGAGCTGTACGCCTTTTGGCGTCCTCTGGTCTAGCACCAATTGAGACGAGGCTCAAAAGAAAGCTGTCTCTGGTGTGGACCAATCAGTTTCAAGGGCAATGCATATATTATCAGTGTGTTTTTTGTTTGAATTTTGACCACAAGTATTGTGGTTAATGCACACATGATTCCTTGTAAAAAGGTTTCAGTTTTGTTGCCAGAAAAAAAGGGGGAAAACCCCTATTATTAGATCCCAGTAAACATATAACGTTGGTCCAACAGTGGCATGTTTACTGAGATGTCTTCTCGGGAGTGTCCCCTCCTCCCCGTATAAGCCAAACACAGTGATATAAAACGACGCGAACTCGTCTTTAGCTAAGAGCCACCTTTAATAAAATAAAAACAAAAATGTTAAGACTCTGGTCGAGTTTTGCATTACAATGGCAAACGAATGACGCTTCTAACCGTCACCACAGTGTTAACTTCAACAACAATATGGCCATTTCCACAGGACTCACGTCAAAGAGTAGTCGCTGAAAGTGTAGCATGAGGAGACCTTACGCACCCCAGATATGGTCAGCATAAGTTCAAATCCCAGCCAGGGTTGACTCAGCCCCATCATCATCATCAACTCTATTGCCTCTGTGGTTACTAAAACGAGTACCACTTTGATGACGCTGCAGCCAGAACGTTATGACGATGGTCACGGATAAACCATGGAATGGCAGCCAAGGAATTGGGGGTACGTGTGTGATAGGACGTCGACTGAGCGTGGAGACGAAGCAATTCAATCAGTTCGTGAGTTCAGGCGCTCCTTGTTTGTTACAGCGCAGGTTCGTGAGAGAAGGCGATCGCTTGGGGAAGCCTTCATACAGCGGTGGATTGATCAATGCTTGGCGATGTTGACGATGATGATGATGCTGTTGCTGCTGCTGCTGCATCACTTGGCAGCAAATCCAGTGGTTGTCCTTTTCCACGGACGTACCTCGGGCCAGAGGAATGTGGAAATCACACCACTGGCTACACGCTCATTTGTGAACACTGGAACACCGAAGAACTTTTTTTTTACTCAAAGTAGTGTCCCTGCACATGTAACAGTTTTTTTTCCTTCAAATATTAATAACTTTTACTATGGAACACATAAACGACAGGTGGTTAAAAAAACAGGACAGCAAAGTCAGGTTCTCTTTGTTACGTTTATGCAGTCGGCATAAACCATGGGTGGAGATAATTTTCCTTGCCCCCATAACATAGACCAATATCCCCCGTATAGCCTTTAACATATTGTTGGGGCAAGTGCTGTTAGGAAGCACCTCTTAAGGCCGGGACGGCACACGAAGAGGGGTGGGTGGCCAGCACCACGCCCGGCCGCCTTTGTCTCCCAAGTGGCGATGTTTAATACACACCGCACCAGGTGCATACTCATGTGAGGCCGAGTCGACCTAGGGGAGGCTCAGGATCGGTTCGGATAATCGTCGCTGGCATAGGTAGTCGTGAGCGGGAATCGAACTCTCGGTGTCGCCGGGTTCGTAGCGGGGCCTGCTAACCGCTGCGCCGCCGCTTCCCACAGCTGAGACGTCATGGCTAAAATGGATGAACGACGCACGCCTAAGTACAAGTTATCCAAGAGTAATGTGAAAAATTACACGCCGCATATGGGGGGGGGGGGGGTCCCTGGCAGCAACAGAAGCGACTCGAGCATGACGCTAAATTTAGAAACGGCGTTGCCAGGTCAAAAAATATTCCCCCTTCGTCGGAGGCTTCATTTTTCAATCGGGTCACCGGTAGAAAGACTTTCAGTAGGTGGGCACACGAGTCGTAAGCCACAGTCATCGCGAGAGGTATACTGGAGGTGGCGTGCCACGTGTGGAAATATTTTCCAGCTCGCCGACCCAGCTAAAATGAAGGCTTGAACTGCGGCCAAAGGCGCATTAACCTCACCCGTGTCAGTGCAAGAGGGAGGTCACCGTGACACTGGCGACCTGCCGCCAGGTCAAAAATTCCAAAGAACACAGGATGAGATGTTAGCTTTTAAGATCCTCCAGTAAACGATTGGTGGCGGCTTAAAACGCTTACAGTGGCGGACAGATGTTGTTTGCAAGGGTGCCTTTCGAAGTGGTGATCCTCAAGTGGCGGCCGCACACAATAAAGTCGTTGGCCACATTGGGCCCGTGTGGGCCATAGGGTTACCCCCCCCCCCCCCGGCATAAACCGTGACGTAAGTTTGCGATAACAAAGCCACAGGTGGTGTATGATAGCTGGTTACTCCACTGACAGCTATCTCGCGCTTCAGATCTCACCGCAATTAAAATTCAGCATCAACTTAAATACGGCGGGTCCTTGATGCTTTTAAGATCCTTAAATGGACTTACTTCATCCGGTCTCCTCAATTCGCATGAAGGTTAAGGCTACCCAACATCCCTGGCTGGTCCCGGCTGCGATTTCAGAAAAGGCCGTTCCTTACCACCCACCTCCACCTCCCCTCAGCCTAACCTCACCACCCCTCTCCTTTTTCTAGCCAGGTTTTCGCCAAAATCTTACATGAATGCACCCGATCTCGTCAAATGCTAAGCAGGGTTGAACCGGATTTGTACTGGGATTACAGACTGCCTGGGAATACCATTTATTTTAGGATTGGACTGCGGAGATGACCTGGAGATGGCAGTACGATGGATTAGTGAATCCATCTGTGCGGAGCTTTGACTGTTATTCTCTCTTCTTAATACGTAGTGGGTTAACTCTGGGTACTCAGGGTTTCATTCCGCATAAAGAAAACAAATATCATTCATATAATTGAACAAAAATCCAGAATGCCCCAGGACTATCCTGAATAAGAGTGCGGAGTCTCGGGCGAGTCTTTCCTGAATAAAGATAATTATTGTTAAGGTGTTCCCTTCTTTTCTCCCTTGTGTCTTCCACCTGCAAAACACCACCACCCTCACGCCACACAAAAAAACCCGGGGCATATTTCTCCGTCAGCACGAGGTCTATTATCTCACAAATGTGCTGCATTCTACCGCAACAAACTTCAACGGCGCCCTGCCGATACCAGTTTTCGGCATAAATCAACTCCTGCCATCCGAACACAAGACGCCAATTCCCGGAGTGTCCCTTGCCAACCCTGGACAGGTGGCAACCCCGGACCTCGTGTCCCCACTCTTTAAGGGCACATTTGCTAGAGAAATATCTAGACATGCGGTCACATTCAGACGCTTGATAAATTCATTTATATTATTACCAGTTGCTAAAAGGACATTGGAAATTGTCCCATGAGCTTTACTCTGTACCAGCTAATGGTTATAAGCACCTACATATTTTTTTATATTTTATATATACAATACGTGTGCATGTATGTGCGTGTCAATCAAACTGAGGGTAAAACCAGAGAGGTCACACAAATTGTCACTGGCAGGCTTGCGAGTCGTGTGGCTGTTGGTTATCGTGTGTGAAGTTGCGTTTGTTGTTATTGTGTGCGAGGTTTGTGGACGCGATCGTTGCCGTGTGTGTGTGTGTGCGTGACTGTGCGCACGCGCGCGTGTGTGTAAACTTGCGGTGGTTATTGGTTATCGTGCTGTGCTATTCACGATTCGGTTGATGTCAGAACTTGTGCAAATATCCTCAAAAATAGCGGCGCGCAGCTTCACAGGATACGAAATCAAAAGGCGGTGCAGCCAACCGCACCAGCCGCCGCTGTTTGCTACAACCGTGGACGCACTTCGGTCAGGCTCCAGAACTCCTGGTGCACAGTTCTAACGGTCTCGGATGGACGGACAAAACGGACGGACGTAATTCCAAAACAACACGGCCGCTGTTGTTCTCGCTCGCTTGTTCGCTTGTTCGCCTGCCAATAAACGCGACAACTTCCACCCGCTTCTTTCTTCGTAACAAACAACGACGACGTCAACTCGAACATCAACAACAACAACCAAATACCAACACCGCCGGCGCAGCATCTCGGCTGGCGTCGGATCACAATTTCTGAGAGCGGGAACGACATTGGCGATTGGCGACTGGCGACGGTGGTGGCGGTGGTGGCGGTGGTGGCGGCATCGTCATCGTCTTGGGAGTTGGGGGGTTAGAGGGTTAGGCCGCGACGACGCAAGACGACCCACGGCGACGTCTCTCACGACGACTGCTGCGGCTCCACGTCGGACCACAGGAAGGCGAGGAGGAAGAGCGCGATGTCCGGCGACATCCAGTACGAAGTGTGCGACGTCACCGCCGACCAGTAGCGGCTCTCCACCAATCCCTCGCGCAGCTCGAAGTCCATGCGGTACTCGAGCTCTACCGCGGGGGGAGGGGGGCCTGGGAGTGATGGCAGCCAGGGGGGGGGGGGGCAAGAGACAGTAACCGGAGGAAACTCAACGCCTACGATGGGGAGAATGTTTAGAACAACAATAAAAATAGAAACATCGGATTGATATATTATTACCTTATATTTATAGAATACCTTATTTGAAGGTGCTTTTTTTCAACAAGTATAACATTGTACGTGAGATGATAGTGGTTGAAATAATAACGAACGGGGTTATTAAAAAAAGTTGTGTTGGTAGTTATGGTGACAAGAGAACAGGTGGCAGTGGTTAAAGAGAAGTGACAGAGGTTGGGGTAGTAATAGGTTTTTACCCTTTCAACTGGTACAAAAACTGACACCTTTATACAAGGCATCATTGTTTGCAATAACCACAACACAAGCAGTCAAAATGCAAACAAAAGAAACTCTGATAATGATATGCACTGTCCTTGAAGCCTTTTGGCGTCATCTGGTCCAACACCAATGGAGACTAGGCTCTAAGAAAAGCTGTCTCGGGTGTGGACCAATCAACTTCAAGGACAGTGCATATCATTATCAGAGTTTCTTTTTGTTTGCATTTTGACTGCTTGTGTTGTGGTTATTGCAAACATGATGCCTTGTATAAAGGTGTCAGTTTTTGTACCAGTTGAAAGGGTAAAAACCTATTACTATATTTTGCCACTGGTAAAGGAGGTCTCATAGTGATAGAGGTTGGGGTAGTGATAGGGGTTGGGGTAGGCCTGGTCATAGCTACAGGGCAGATGCAGGGAGTAGCAGTAAGACGGGCTAGGGAGAAGAGATGATATACAACATAACCGCAAAAACAAGGAGTAATCTTAAATTTCGATTTAAAGCTTTCGTGACTGCAGGGATTCATTTTCTTGGTTCTTTCGGTAAAGTCACGTAGAAGGGAAGTAATAAAATAATAAAAATAAAACATAATCAAATCAAATAATTCTCACGACGTTTCGGCTACAACGCAAGCAGCCGTCCTCAGGTGAAGAATGAGACACTGTCAAGCTAGGAGCTTATATATAAGCTGAGTTGGAGGTGGAAGAAGGAGTAATCTTATGAACAGCTGCATTTTATACCGTGCCTAAATGCAATCCCCTCTCCAGACGCTTCACAAACAAAAAACCAATTAAGGAGAAAATGAAATCATGCAAATGCACGCATTCTGTAATGCTTTGCAACGTCGCTTTGTCTCGGTGTTTAATTGTCAGCCATGAAGCCGATGGGGGAGCCGTCAGGGAAAAAGAGCATCGGCAAATTTACTAATTTATTCCTTCACGCTCCGGTTTGAGTTTCCAAGTTGTAGGCAATAACCCCTTTGATCAACGTGGCCGGTTTGCAAAAGGGTGACTCCCACATAGCATAACAACATTACACTCAGGAGCTTTAACGTACATCGGATCATCTTCACGACAAATCATCGTGCCTCGCCCGTGCACAAACAGGTCCACGTACACGTACTCCCCCCCCCCCTTCCAATACGTTATCATGTGCACCAACAGGGGCTTGCGCACAAACACGTCCACGTCTACGTACACATCGTGCTCTCTTTAGCCCCGCCCCGCCCCCCCCCTCCCAATACGTTCCATTCATTGGCTACCACATTCTGATAAGCTCCCCCCCCTCCCCCTTAACTTGTATTTAAAAACTTGCATCTTGGAATCCTGCCTCACTTGATGCAGCAAATCTGGCTGTGACGTTCCCACCTGATGACGGAGACTTGTGTTGACTCCGAAACGTCGTGACTTTCATTATTTTATTTTTATTAATTTTAATTTCATTTTTTTACCTACGTGACTTTACCGAAAAAACTAAGAGTAAGAGCTAACGCACAATCGCTTCAAACCCGCCGACCGAACCTCCCCCAACCCCCCCAACCCGTCACCCTCTCACCAGCTCCTTCCTGCGCCGTAGCCTGCATGGGCTCCGGCTCCGCCTGGTTCGGCAATCCGCCCGGCGTCTGCCTCACGCCCACACCGTGCATCAGCGGCACCTGCGCCATCAGCCTCTCCGCGTCGGGCATCCCGATCGGCAGCTCCATCGGCAGCGGTGGCGGCACCAGCGGCAGCAACGGCAGCAACGGCAGCAGCGGTGGTGTTGTCGCTAGCTCGCACGACTCTCTGCGTTGCTCCCCGTGGCTTGCAGATGTGGATTCGCCGGTCGGTGAAACCTCCCCGGTGTCGGCGTCGCCCTCGGATTCTGTGACGCCTGTACCGTACGACCTCGACAGGCGCGACAGGATGATGCCGCCCAGACCCTTTCCCAGGGTGGCGGCACCTGTAGGGGAAGTACACGTGAACACAGGCGTGTACGCGTGTCCACTCACTCACAAAGACAAAGGTCCCCCATATAGCCTGAACAGAGTGTTGGGGCAAGTGCTGCGAGCGAGCACCTTTGAAGGCCGGCACAGTACACGAGGGTGTGGGTGGCCAGCACCACGCCCGACCACCCTTGTCTCCCCAGTGCCGATGTTTATACACCACATCAGGTACTCATTTGAGGCTGAGTCGACCTAGGGGAGGCCCAGGACTGGTTCAAATAATCGCCGCTGGTCTTCTGCCCGTGAGCGGGAATCAAACTCGGGTCAACGGATTCATAGTACAGTGAGCTAACTACACTACCGCTTCCCACACAATGTAAAAAAAACAAAATGTGAGTTTGTTCTCATCGATTTTATAATTTTTATCTCGTCAGAAATTTCCACGGGGAAAATGAAGCGGCTCAAAATTCATAAACATTAAAAGCCTCGATGCATTTTTGATGGTGTGTAATCTAACCGGCGCCAATAGACGGGTTCTGTGACAACGGACGCTAAACACACATGGGAGCACACATTCATTTGTTCCAGCGAAAAAGAAATACAAACGAACTCAGCCTGGCCTTTTCCTAGAGCATCGGGAGTATTTTTAGAGTATAATTGCTTCTGGATTTTTTTGTTGACAAGACACGCACACGATTTACAACTGTTCCGCAATAAACTTGTTTATTCTTGGATATCACTCGGTGGCGAGTGATATCCAAACCGGATCGTCGGCCCCCAGCTGTAAGGTCCAAACAACCACCATAACCAACACGGCATGCGGGGGGGGGGGGGGGGAGGTCTTCGGCAGTGGATTGACAATGGGCTGTAA